GGGGTTTTGCCCCCAGATTTATGGGCTGGAATTTTTTGGGGGTTCTTTTAGGGGCTTTTATCAAAACTTGCAATTAAATCGAAAAACAAAGCGTGTGTTGGTTCTTTCAGTTTTGTGCGTAGAATGGAACGCACCACGATATGAAACGACTGAACTGACTATGTGGCGGGTTGTTTCCTAAGGCTGTATGGACTAAAGTTAAGAAACAGCTAAATAAGATTTAATAGCCTGTCAGCTCAGTTTCGTTTGATTGTCCTTTCGGACTGTATTAATTCAATAAAATAATTTACTGTAACTAAATATGTAACGTTTTAATTTATGAGCAACGAAAGAATTTGGGTAATAAGTAGGTACTTAAAAAATGTATATTTAGGGGATTTTAGGGGAATTTCAAAAATATTTAGGGGAAATTTTTGGTAAGGGTTGGTAACACTGTGCGTGTCGGGTGACGGTGCAGGAATATTGTCTGGTTTTTAGTGGCCCTGTTCACATCAGCGAGCCCCAGGGCTGGCTGCAGGGGACAGGGAGGAGTCCCACATACCTTCTTCTCGTTCCCCCAGTGGTTGAAAGATGCTTAAGGCATTTCTCAGACACAAAAAAAAAGGTTGCATACCTACTTAGTTGATGCATAATTATTATTCCTTCGACACTAGATAGAACAATGGCTAGAGCGCAGCTGCCTAAACAATAGCAGTCTACAAACTGAATTGAATCTTATTTGTATTGAAAGAAGGCAGTGACTAACAGTTAGGTACATCATCTTAATTTCCTATATACGGGCACGCGACTGACTTGGGTTTCCCAATGCATTGTTGTGGCTTTATTTTTCCTTAATGTTTATATTACAAATACAACAGTAAGTACTTAAGTGTTTCTTAAAAGTTGATTAATAACCATATAAATAAATAAATAAATATTTCCAACACACACCAATTAGCCTAGCCCCAAAGTAAGCAGTATAAGGCTTATGTTATGGGATACTAGGGTAACGTATACAATACATATACTTTACATATATAAATAAATTTATATAGAAATACATATTAAACATCCATGACTGGAGTACAAATGCTCGTGTTCATCGCACAAACATCTGCCCCCACCGGGATTCGAACCCGGGACCTCTCGAGTCGGCAACGCCATGAAACCCGGCGTACAAACCACTCGGCCACGGAGGTCGTCAAATATATATATATAGCACACTTACCCAATCTATATGTATATCTAAAACTCAAAGGTGATTGACTGACAGAGTGATCTATCAACGCACAGCCTAAACCACTGTACGGATCGGGCTGAAATTTGGCATGCAGATAGATCTTATGACGTAGGCATCCTCTAAGAAAGGATTTTGATCAATTCTACCCCCAAGGGGATAAAATAGGGAGTGAAAGTTTGTATGAAACTTTGTCAATTTTAATCCGATCGGGCTGAGACTTTGCATGCAGGTATAAGAAGAATCATAGATACATATCATTGTGTATAATACAAGCCTGAGAACAAAAACTGTAGTCTACACTTCAGCTCTACACCGAAGCGAAGCGAGGGCGGGCCGCTAGTAATATATAAACAAGATTACCTTACGTAGTTATTTACCCATTTACCTATAGCTTTAGATAATTTCTATCTAGATATTGGGTAAAAGATAAATAACCCTAGATTTAAACTCTTGTTTTAATCTAAGTAAATAGCTCCTTAAAATGGCAATTCAGTAACTCAGGCGCAGCTTATTGCTCATTGAATTAACTCTTTGCGCAAAGTCATTGGAACATGCTTAATTAGTTGCATTAGTAACAGGATCACTTTTTTTTTTTTTTTTGTAGATAGATCCGACAAATGACTCCACCTCACCTGATGTTAAGTGAAGGTGAAGTCCAGACGCGAAGATAGCTGATACAGCAGTTCTAACTGCCACACCAGCCATCCTCACCCTACCGGCCTGCAAGTTGCTTCTTCACGCCTCTTTTAAAGGATCCCAGGTAGTAAGAAGGAGGGAACACGTGAGCGGGCAGAGCATTCCATTTACGGATAGTACGACAAAGAAATGAGTCACCAAATTTCTTTGTACGCGTTGGAATTGTAGCCACAGTTAGACGGTGACAACGTAAGCCAGCGCGCGTGGTCCTCTGAAGGAAAGGGGAAGGTGGAATAAGAGAGAATAACTCCTCAGAACACTCGTCGTGGTACAGGCGATCATAGAAATGGAAAAGTCGACTTGTTCTACGATCAAACGTTGTTCAACAAAAGAACTTTTTTTTTGAAGTTATACTTCTTTAGGCGCGTTATGAAAAAATTATGAGAGTGAAATTTTAAGATGCGCGCGAAGTTGGTCGCTTTAGAGACCAACTTCATGCGTTACTTTTGTGTTTACCGCACATTAAGAAAATCTACCAACAAAATAGAAATAGAATCTCTATTTAGTGGGTGCTAACGACTGCATTGTGAAGGCCTATCAAAAGTATTTATTAATCTGGAACAACGGAACCAAAGCGCGATTCAGGAGACTACAGCGCCATCTCTTGACCATTGGTGTAGTAGAACCAAAAACCACATCTTTATTTTTTGTAATAAAGTAACAGTTATAGGTATTCATATTTATAATATTTATCCACATGTTTCTAGTTTGTATATTCGGAATACGTGTTTGAGTTTCATACAAGTGCAAATCACATATGTTCTAATAAATTATATTCAGTAGCGATTTTAATTGAATATTTTGATTATTTATTTATTTTTTCAAATTATAACTGAACTTGACTTCGTCCTTTTCCAGACTTTTTATTAATTTATTGTAATTAATTATTTGCATGCAATTAAAAACTAATTTTAAACGAACTGAAAGAAGGATAACTTCTCACGCGCCTACATAAGTACACGCACCCATTTGAAGCCCAAGCCAATGAAGGTTTCTGTATTTTATATTAACTTCATCTCTCTTTTTCTTTAAGTGCTGCTTCCAGGTGAGTCTCCTATCCAAGTGGAAACCAAGATACTTGACGCAACCTGAGTGTGGGAGTGTGTCTGACCCAAGGTGAACAGGAGAACAGTTTTCCTTCCTTAATGCAAACGTAATGTGGTTCGATTTTTGACCACTGACTCGAATACGCCATTTTTTCAGCCATGCGTGAGTTTGATCTAATAGGTTCTGTAGCTTTGCACTAGCTATGTCAGGGTCTTTATCGCAGGCAAGGTATGCAATATCATCAGCGTATGTAGCAATTACAGCGTCGCCAGCAGTGGGAAGGTCGTACGTGAATATGCTATACAGAACCGGACCAAGTACCGATCCTTGCGGGACTCCAGCCTCCACAGCTTGCAAGGAAGATCGTGAGTCATCGACTTGATCCCTGAAGTATCTTTGTGACAGGTACGATGCAATTATGAGGTAAACCGAGTGTGGTAGGTTCTTTTTAACCTTGTACAATAAGCCCTTGTGCCAAACCTTGTCAAACGCCTGTTGCACATCTAGGAAAGACGCGGAACAGTATTCTTTTCTCTCATAGCAAGTTCTTACTGTGTCATATACACGATGCATTTGTTCTATGGTGGAGTGGGATTTTCTAAAACCAAATTGATGTGTAGGGATGAGGTCACATTTATCCATGCAATATTTAAGGCGGGTAAGGAAAATCTTTTCCCACAGTTTAGAGAGTGTAGGCGTCAAGCTAATGGGTCTGTAGAATGTAGGTTCATGTATAGGTTTTCCTGGTTTGTGTATCATGATGATTTCAGAGATCTTCCATATGGCTGGGAAACAAGACGTCCTAAATATGGCGTTAAACAGGCATGCCAGGAAGGTGATACATTTTCTAGGAAGTTCTTTTAAGACCCGTGTTGAAATGAGGTCGAAACCAGGCGCCTTTTTCGAATCGAGTAATTTAATTTCTCTTGCAATTTCTTTTGGGGAGGCAGGTGTCAGAGGCAGGTGTCAGAGGCAGGCATAGCTGGAGATCTTGACCAAGTACCGTTTCAACTTCAGTTTCATCCTCTAGAGCATCGTTAGGCTTAAAAGTTGGGGCAAGAACAAAAGAACTTAAATGTAATATTATTTTCACTTATGTCCTATTGTTTAGACCAGGGTTAATAATGAATAAAAAAATGTAAACATTTATCACATTTTTAATCAAATACAGTTTCAATTTGACAAAATTATCAAAATAAATTTAAATACAGTTTAATTTTAAAATGTAACACAGTTTTTTAGGAAACTGCAATACTATTAAGTTTCTTTAAAATATAAGAGATTCGTAAGTTGAATTGTTACCGTAAATTATGTCATCATCAGCCTATTATTGTCCCCACTGCTGGGGCACAGGCCCTCCCTATGGATGGAATAGGGAAATTGGGCCATGACCCACCACGCGGCCCCAGTGCGGATTGGTGGGTGCTAAAGACTGCAGATGCAGCCGGGACCAACAGCTTAACGTGCCTTCCGAAGAACGGAGGAGCTCGAGATAGTAATTTTTGGTCACCCATCCAATGACCGACCACTGCGAAAGTTGCTTAAGTTCAACGCTTAAGTTCAACGCGCTAACCACTTGCGCCATCGAGCTCCTCATAAAATAAAATCAAACCGCCGTGTTTGCTTGAAAATTGGCAAGACTCTAATGAATATGGTAACACAATTATTTATGTTAATGTACCTAAAAAAAGCCGTATCAATTGCTAATTAACAAATAATTTAATTCATTGATACAGAATACAGCACTATTCCAGTTACATTAATTAATTTAATGCAACGTAAAAAGTAGAAATTAAAATATGTACTAAGTATTATGATTCTATACTTTAAATGACGTGTATAACAAAATAACGCGATGCACGACTAGTTTTTCATGCTCAATAGTCGATGTGCGAATGCTACATATTATTATACAGCAGTGAACAACATACAATATTGATTAGCTCACTATACTGTTCATGGTAACCACTAAATATCTTATAGTATAAGATCGTTTTGTTGTTTTCAACTTTTGAGTCATTCCTTCCTTAACGGTGATAATACTTAAGTCTGAGCTTGGCGGTTTCGCATTCAGTGTGGAATGCACAGAGCAGTTGTGATCATTGATTGTACAATATATTAAAATATATTATAACTAGGGTATAAATATTAGCTCGTAATGTTTCGAATATTGGCGCTCGTTGTGGCATTGACCTGCGCCTGCGCACATAAGGATCACCATCATGGAACCACTGGTCAGTTTTGATAATATTCTTGTTGTTAAATTAAATCAAAGTTGGGTTTTTTATGATAAGTTACCACCGTTTGCCACCCGCAAACGAGCACTAGTCCCGCCTGGTGGTAAACCGCTACCACAGATTATACTTAGACGCTTGGGAAACAAGCAATATTACTGGCAACGTTGCCTACCCTTTCTAGGGTTAGGGGGAGACCGGGAGACTTGCTCAGGGGAGAGTTGAACCATCTATCAAAATCCTATTTAAAAGCATAAACAAAACGTCAATTCGTCCATCGGTCACATGCGTGACGCCCAGATCAGAACAAATCAGTTACATATGTGAACAATGAACGAAATAATATTTCGTTTGCGCTGAATTTAAATACAATTTTTAAAGATGGTTCAACTCTCCCACCCGGGCAAGTCTACCGGTTCTCCCCTACCATCCGTCCTGATTTGTCCGGACATATCCGGACTTTTTGCTCTCTGTTTGAAAATATCCGGACTTTTAACTCTTGGTCGGACATATCCGGACTTTTGCCTCTTGGTCGGACATATCCGGACTTTTTGCCTCATATCCGGCTATTTAATCTGTCCGGATTTTTTTAAATTAGATAGAATATGAGTAAAACTAATTATTAAGTTAAATCAAATAATCTTTAAAACAAAATATAAATCATCTTTAAAAATCAACAACGAGACCCCTATCGCGATGCGAGCGTCTGCTACCACGCGTATAATATCACTGTATAACTAAGTGGGTGATGTTTGCATTTTGTGACTAAAATGTCCGGAAATGTCCGGCTTTTTGTCAGGACTTTTCAAAATTTTAAATAGTAACCCTAATCCTGAACCAATCCCCTAACTTTGACGTGCTTTTGACGTTGGTGGAGTGATGTTTTTTACCTTTGACTTAGGTAGGCCAGGGGGCCAATCGCCTAACTGGATTGCTTTGGAAAACGCTATCGCTTACGATTTCATTTTGTTATTTCTAACCGCCGAAATACCTCACGCTCATTTTCTTTAACATTGTTATTACCAATGCAAAAGAAAAAAAAAGAGCGCGAGGCATTTGAAAACCTCAGGGGGCTAGAAATAACAAAATGAAATCGTAAGCGATAGCGTTTTCCAAAGCAATCCAGTTAGGCGATTGGCCCCCAGGAACCAGTCTCTCAACTTAAAACGTAGATAGGTAGGTAATTGAAATATTAACACGAAAATTGAACGTAAGGGATGGATGGTCAGGGGGGAAGGGGGAGTTGAAGGAAAACTTCATTATCGCACTCTTCATAAGTATAGATTTTTATTGAATGTAATGTGAATTATTTTATTGAATAAATTTATTATTATTATTTTTAATGTTTTTTTTTCTGTACACGGACACAATGTATTAAACTAGTTATTTAATTTCAAAAACTAATAATGCGATATACCAACTTACCTCTCATTAATTCTAGAAGAAACAACAAAGGTGGAGTACACCCAGGCGGGGGCTCTGAATAGAACAGAAAATTCATTGTTCTCTCTAGAATTGTTCTTCCTGTTTACACCGGTTTGCGACCTGACTGACCGGTTAATGACCTATAAAAAAAGTTGTTATCGAGATTGTTTTTAAACAATATAGACTTCTTATCATAGATATGCTATTGATATTAGATTGAGTCAACATTGCAAAACAAAATAGAAAACAAATAATTAAATGTAAACGTAATTTTAATGGTAAAGAATGTCAAACAATCACATTTTCCCCTTATCAGTAATACATATCATATTCAACTACATAGTAAAATTAGTAAGTTCTTAGGTTTATCACGCGTTTTTGGAACGAAGTTCCTTACGGCAGGCTTGGAGGGGATAGGGATTTTGCTGCGCGACCGAACTGAAAAAAATGTGATAGTAAAACCGTAAGAAAAACTCCGTGGTAAAAAGTGCGTGGAATAAAACCGTTAATTGAGACGTGCGCAGGCGCGACGAAGTTCCTTACGGCAGGCTTGGAGGGATAGGGATTTTGCTGCGCGAGCGAACTGAATAAAATGTGATAGTAAAACCGTAAGAAAAAATCCGTGGAAATAAGTGCGTGGAATAAAACCGTTAATTGAGACGTGCGCAGGCGCGACAGTCGCATACACAAGCGAGTTTGCAATTTGTGTCGATTCTACATTAGCCGAAGGAACTTCGTTCTTACCTGGTGTCCCACGACACCACATCATTTCTTTTTTTTCTTGGTCTTCTTTTCTCACTTTTTCACAATATGATTCCCTTTCCAATTCATTGAATGAGTTCTCGCACACCACATCACACAAATATCCAAAAGAATGTCCGTGTGGTGTGGAACCACACGGACATTCTTTTGGATATTTCAGCACTTTGGGCTGTTTTTTTCCTCATTCCCGCAGGAGTGCTTCCATAAAGCGAGCCGGTATCGGCCTTCATCGAGTAGCAACCGCGACTCGTATATTATACCTTTTAAATATCATTTATCGTCAAAAAACGTTTTAGTTCTATGATCACTTAGAACATATTTTAGAGGGTGATACATGGTAGCGACCAGGGCTAAAAAAAATACCCAAATTCCCCATAGAATGATGCGTCTCGCAAACGCGCTATTCCTTAGCCCGCGTCGCCACCTAACTTGTTTCATTGCGTGTTGTTCCTACTTATTTAAACTTAATTATTTATTTAAACTTTATTGCAGAATAAAAAAGCAAATGGCGGACATAGTGTAGTGTATCCATCTACTGTATTTGATTGTGTTTTGCCCTCTCTACCCGAAGAAGCGTGTGAAGCCAGCGAGCCGGTGACGGTGACTCCATCAGGCCGTATTCGAGGATCATGGCTTCAGACGCGGCGCGGGCGGCGCGTGCAGGCCTACCGCGGCGTGCGGTATGCGGCCCCGCCCACCGGGGAGCTGCGGTTCCAGGTATAGATTCACTCTGTTTTTTTATGCAAAAAAAATGCAAGTGTATGGTCGACTGATGGTAAGAGGTTATATTCTATAGAGCGACTGGCCTGACTGACCGTATGGCCGACTGATGGTAAGAGGTTATATTCTATAGACCGACTGGCCTGTCTGACCGTATGGCCGACTGATGGTAAGAGGTTATATTCTATAGACCGACTGGCCTGACTGACCGTATGGCCGACTGATGGTAAGAGGTTATATTCTATAGACCGACTGGCCTGTCTGACCGTATGGCCGACTGATGGTAAGAGGTTATATTCTATAGACCGACTGGCCTGACTGACCGTATGGCCGACTGATGGTAAGAGGTTATATTCTATAGACCGACTGGCCTGTCTGACCGTATGGCCGACTGATGGTAAGAGGTTATATTCTATAGACCGACTGGCCTGACTGACCGTATGGCCGACTGATGGTAAGAGGTTATATTCTATCTATAGACCCTTGCAATACCAGTTTATTATTTGCACGATTAGCCTACCCTGTGAAGCCATGGAACCTTATTCACAAATAGAAGCACAATACCACTAAAAGTCTTGTTTTCACATTGGCGAATTGTCCTTGTGTGACAATGCTAGTAGGTAATTAATAGAATCTTCCGCACTTTTCTGACGAATTCATTTATATGTATACCTCTCAAACCCTTCTTTAATAAAATTCATAAACAAAGTCGATGACGTTCAGCACATGCTTGTAGAGTGTACTAAGTATAACAATAAGACAATGTCATTATTGCAAAAACATAATATAAACGTGTTCGGTGTAGGGATATTCGCAACAATATTGGCAGATTAGAAGTCGGAAATATACAAAAGTCTTATATATATACTAGCTGACCCAGCGAAATTCGTACCACCATAAAAAAATAGGGGTTGGTGGTAGAAAGTTGAAAATTTAGGGATGTATGTATTTTTGTATGATGTTTCATAAAAAAATTACCTATCTAAAATTGAAAAAAAAAATTAAGGGTGGATTACCCTTAACATTTAGGGGGAGGAAAAATAGATGTTGTCCGATTCTCAGACCTACCCAATATGCACACAAAATTTCATGAGAATCGGGAAAGCCGTTTCGGAGGAGTTTAACCAAAAACACCGCGACACGAGAATTTTATATATTACTAGCTGACCCAGCGAACTTCGTGCCGCCATAAAAAAATAGGGGTTGTCCAGCGAACAAAATTGTGAATCTAAACCATTCTCAGATCCCCTTGAACACACACAAAAAATTTCATCAAAATCGGTCCCGTCGTTTAAGAGAAGTTCAGTGACATACACACTCACAGAAGAATTATATATATAAAGATATATTGCAACAATGTATCGTCGTAGTTTTATATTAATTTTGTAATTTATAATGTTAGGATATGATGGGGCTGCCATATCTTTATAACGTAAAAGCCTCTAAATAAAGAAGATTGTAAAAAAAACAGTTACAATATATGTATTTGTGGAAGTCATTGACTGGTAGTGAAAATGATAGACTGTATATATAATTGAAAGTGATGGAAATTAACGAAATATTGGTTAAGTTTTATAAAATCTTAAAATAAACTGACGTTTAAATATACATATAAAAAAAGTATTTATCAAATTAAAATAGTAAATAGCTCACAACAGGTACAGTTAACACCCCTTAATTTATAATCCTGTCTTTGTACAAAAAAGAGGGTTCATTAAATGTATGTTGAGGTCATTATTGATTACGACTGGTTATAAATAAATAAATAAATATTTCCAACACTCACACCAATTAGCCTAGCCCCAAAGTAAGCACTGTAAGGCTTGTGGGTAACGGATAAGAATACATATACAGTACATATATAAGTATATTTTTATATAAATACATATTTAACATCCATGACTGGAGTACAAATGATCGTATTCATCACACAAACATCTGCCCCCACCGGGATTCGAACCCGGGACCTCTCGAGTAGGCGACATCATGAAACCCGGCGTACAAACCACTCGGCCACGGTCAAATTATCAACATTATTCTTAAATTAAAATCCTGGTAAAAGTCATACGCAAGGTGTATTACAATATTCGTTGTTTAATCACCATTTGAAGATGCAATATCATCATGGTTTTTTTACATTACAGAACTTGGTGGCTTAGGCCAATGGGAAAATAAAAATTTGTAATTTTTCTATCAAATTCAAAATTAAAAAAATAATCCAATTGGATGCACAATAGAAGTGTTTTCAGTCGTCCATATTTTTTTTCCTACCACCAGTCTAAACTGGGGCTCTAAGCCCTTTCACATTTTTTGCAAAAACACGTAATTTTTGAGCGCCTTGTTTACCCCCTTAGAAAATATTTTGACTATTTCCAATAGAAGTTAACAGCAGATTTATTTTTTCTATTGTAAGTTAATGTAGATTTTTTGCAAATACCATTTTCATTTATTTGTAGGTACTGATCACAGAACAGAGAAACCTCTTTCTGTGTTCTGTGGTACTGATCGTTCCACTGCAGCTAGTTTACGGAAAAAAACGATAATTTGCACAACTTCAAACGCCTTAATCTCTCAATAATGTTCAATAAATTAGATCAAATTAATTACTAAAACATCAGAAATATGTTTTTGTTGTAACATAATGTATTAGAATTTTGATTTTCCATCTCATTAATTATCAAAAAAAACATCTAACCTCCGTGAGTTTCCCCAAAAAAAATGCAGGTTTACCTCGTATTTTGATATTAATTATGAATTCACCCGTAAAATGCAATATATACTAGTGCAAACCCGCCGATCAGTACGGCAACGGCGCAATTTTGTAAAAGTGCTCTTAAGTACAATTTTTAGCTGTGAAGAAAAACTGGCGATAAGAACAATATAAATAATTATGTAACAATATTAACAAAATATTATATTGTTACCGTGTCAATACAACATCATATCATCTTCATCATAATTATGGAAAAAGCCTGTCGGAACGTTTGACACAGTTTAAACCTAAGCATTTTTGTCTAATCAGATTCCTTATAATAGGCTTTATTAATAAGAACTCTTGGTAACTTTAAATTTATTGACGCTTAATTTTTGGATATTGCTAGAGACTTTATTGTAGAAGCGTACACAAATACCTTTAAATGAATTATTGGTTTTGTGGAGCCTTGTAATTGATACTAATTTATTTTTATTTCTAGTATTAAGCGAGTGCTTATCACTTTAAAGAGTCTGTCTTAAGATTGTAAATTCATTGAACAGTTTTGCAGCACAAAAATAGTTTGTTTTATATGTTCCACCAGCCTCCCAAGCCAATCTTGCAGTACCAATCGGAGGTGGACGCACGAACAGAGGGCCCCGCCTGTCCTCAGCCTGTCATAGACCCGGACTACTTCCTGGATGAAGACTGTCTGCGGATCAATATATACACGCCAGAGAAGAAGCCGTAAGTACCTATCTTTGAGGTTTTTTTTTATTGCTTAATAGTCAAGGCGTTTGACCACAATCTCGCCTGATGGAAAGCGATGGTGAGGCCTAAGATGGTACACGCTTGCCTAGAAAATACCTGTTCACTCTGGTCTGGCCCTGGGAAGATGTACTCGAAACACTACATCCCAGAGCTTTCTTTGTAGAAAGCTGCTGAGTTTAAGCGGTGGAAGAAATATAAAGAATAGCTTTAACTAACTAGAGACTTTTCGTAACAAATTAAAGAAATATACAGGACTAGCAAACCAGTGAACCAAATGTTCACCAAAAAAAAAAAAAAGTATTTAATTAATTGAGAACTTCGGAGATTTTGTGTGGTTTCGTTTGAAATAGAAATCAAGTGATTTCTCGAAAAGCGGAAGTGCTACGTTACTCACATCCGGTTTGTAGTCTTGTCAGACTATTCTTAACTTATAACTTGAACATTCTCTATATCTATCTCTTACGGTTTGGCCGCTGAAACAGCACCATGGACGGACGGACGGACTTGTCTATTAGATAAGAGATGTTTCTTTTGTCATGCCAGTGTAAGTTGATAGCGGAGTACCATACCTATCAATTTAACCCCCATGTGTTCTACGATTTTTCGTAGATTTCGAGTTAGAATTTTATTTTCGTTATGTTTTATGATTCAACAATGAGACAACTTTGAAAAGGTTTAACTTTTTGTTGGGCCGACTTTTGCTCTATTTTTTTTAAAGGAATGCCTATTGTTTGTAGCTTTATAAGTAAAATAATCTCCTTCCTAACTTTAACGTAAGAGAACTCGGAAACTACGAAAAATCGTAGAACATACATGGGGGTTAAATTGATAGGTATGGTGCTTCTCTATCATCTCGCACTGGCTGACACCCTACAAGAAACAATACCATTGTACAAGCCATTTTAATTATATTTTATTAAATTTGCATTACGTGTCGATGCACTCTAAACTGCTGACACAGTTGACCCTCTAATTGGTTTAAGAACAATATTTTACATTATATGACAGTGCAATAAAGGCATTCACATCATATTGACGTATTTTAATAATTTATCTCCTGACAATCGTCCCGTGACTAATTGACATATTGACAGTCATTAGGGTCCTAGTAACGGCCCCTACAACCCTGTATAAACGAAGAAGGTGATTCTGAAAACTGTGGTAGGCAATGGAGTAAAGAGCAACGCCCGAGTTATATCGTTTAAAAAACTATAGAAATACTAGCTGTCCCAGCGAACTTCGTACCGCCATAAAAAAATTGGGGTTGGTGGTAGAAGGGTGAAAATTTAGGGTTGTATGTTTTTCTGTATGATGTATCATAAAAAAATTAAAAAAAAAAATCTAAAATTGAAAAAAAAAATATTTAGGGGTGGATTACCCTTAACATTTAGGGGGATGAAAAATAGATGTTGTCCGATTCTCAGACCTACCCAATATGCACACAAAATTTCATGAGAATCTGGAAAACCGTTTCTGAGGAGTTTAACCACAAACACCGCGACACGAGAATTTTATATATAAGATATACTTTTGTAAATCCCCCTATTGTTTCCCTTTCGCTTTGCAGTTCTAAGCCGCTGCCTGTAGTGATGTACATTCACTCTGGCGGGTTCTACTCGGCGTCGGGTCGCAGCGATTTGGCCGGTCCCGACTACCTGCTAGACAAGGACATCGTGCTCGTCACCATCAACTACCGGCTTGCTTCACTCGGTAAGTGTTGTCATGAAATGGAATAAGCCAGAAGGACGGCTTCCGTCATCCTGAAAAATGATTACCTTAGCATACAGCTGTTTCAATATGTGTTGTGCGTGGGTCTATAAATATTTTCTTTCTTTCTTCATCATTATCATCAGCCTATTAATGTCCCACATAATGGGGCATAGGTCTTTCACAACGATGGAATTGGAAGATTGGGGCTTGACATGATCCACCGCGCTCACTCAGTGCGGAATGGTGTGTGCTAACAACTGCAGATGCAGCCAGGACCAACAGCTTCAACGTGCCTTACGAAATACTGAGAAACTTAGATAATATTTTTTATGTCACCCATTCGATGATCGGCAATTGCAAAAGTTGCTTAACTTCTACGATCGCAGATTCCATTAACCAACCATCGCTCTTTCTTCCTTTTATCGCTAAGACGACCTGTGAGGTATGTTATGAGGGTATAATGCGATTCAAATAAGAATAGGAAAGCCAATGACCTCCATCTGTCAAATGTCGCTTGAAAAGTACGGTTTGCAAAAAAAAACTCGGAACACTTTTTTAGCACTCGGCTAATTCTAGAATATTTTATTCAAACATTTTTAAAGAAACAAAAACAAATATTGATAATTAATATTGTTTGATATTTTTTTCATTTATTGAGTTTTGGCTATGAATGGTTGTTAACCTAAATCGTCAACCAAATGTCACTTTATGTTGCGTTCAGAAACTAGATTTAAAACTATCGTTTATTTAAAGGATGCATGTTTGTATGTGACCTGTATGAATACTCATAACTACTCCGGCGGTAATGCAGAGATGAGCGAAATTGAAGAACTAGATTCTGATTAATGTTTTTTCTCACACTGTCTTAATAAAGAAATATTATTAAAAATCGGTTGTTTTTTTCCCTCAATCATAGTAAACAAATTTTATTAAAAATTCTGATGTTTTTTCTCACTTAATCTTAGTAAATAAGTTTTATTAAATATAAACTTTTTTTGCTCACTCTACCTATTTAGTTTGAATCAATAGCTATGACATCAAAATATGGCGCCCAGTCGGTCCTATTCTTAGTTGAATCGCATTATACATCTGTTTTCAAGGTGTCGCCTACTCAGAGGTATCGCGTTCGATTCAATCGAATCATTACAGTGCTTACTTTGGGGCTAGGCTTATTGGCTTTATTTATATCGTCCAGGTTTCCTAAGCACGGGCGATAAGTACGCCCCCGGTAACAACGGCTTCAAGGATCAAGTGGTGGCCCTCGAGTGGGTGCGGCGCAACATCGCGCCGTTCGGCGGCGACCCCGACCTCGTCACCATCAGCGGGTGCAGCGCTGGCTCATTCAGCGTCTTGCTGCATATGGTCTCACCCATGTCCAAAGGTAAATTTTAAACAAAAATCACTCTAAAGACTATGTTTCAATAAACAGCAATAGGGGTGATGACGGTATACAGTAAACGAAATTCTATTTAGTCCGTCAGTTAGATGATCAAAAAATAATGGACACGTATTTTTTCTTTGGGCAATCTAACAAAAAATTACAAAGTTATAGCGCGTCAAAGTTTGGGAGTGGGGGCTCGTGACGTGACTTTTTAGTGAATTTTCACTTAAAAGTGTACTCAAACGTGACGTCATGCGACTTTTCAAATCAATATATCTCTGCAATGTTATATTGTGTGAAAAAAGAAAAAATACGTGTCGAATATTTTTTGATAATCTACCTGATAAACGAAGAAAAGAAAATTAGTCATCATCCCTATTCTTCAGTTCTCCACTTGAGGATTGAGAATACATGAGATTCCTCCTGATCAAATTTAGCGTTGAGATATTTAGACTAAATCAAAATCTTAGTTGAGCAACAGTAAAATTTAAGAGTAATGTATTTTCAATTTGTTGATAAGAAAGAAATAGCAAAGTGCTAATTTTTTGGTATAAAAATCAGTTCATTAATATCTAAGCAAGCTACAAGCACTTATGAATGTTGAAAAATTACGCCACCCGGTTCGAAAATCTTATTAACCGAGAATAAAGCTTCTTTTTTCCCTTTATTAGTATACTAATATTATAACTTATAGTAGAGATGTAAAATTGAAAAAGAATTTAATGAGAGGTGATTCATGAAAATATTTCCTCGACGTTTCCACTTAGTGCTCAGAACAGTTTTGAGCGAGCAAACAGTTGTTCGCTCATTAAATGGAGACAGCAGACCAATCGAACTAGTTCGTTCAACGATGATCGGTCGGATAATCTCAGCGAGCGAACGCTCGATCGCTTAATCATTGAACTAAAAACTACTTTTTATCTGTGCGACTGTACAAGCATTTTTGCGTTTAGCTATTATAGTGAAAGCAAATAGTTACTAAAGAAAAGTTTTACTAGAAAAAAATCCACGCGTACCAGGCAGCGGACGGGACTCGAATCCGCACCCTTCGCAATGCGGGCGAATGCATTGACCAATTATGCCACCACGGCCCTGATGGCCGCGTCGAAATTTTCCTAGCCTTAAGCTGCAAAGCAGCGCCATCTCTTCGCATTGTAGGTAACCCACATTTTTTTTCTAGTAAAACTTTTCTTTAGATTTAAAACATCTAGCAGTTAAATGCTTAAAAAAGTAAAAACATAAATAGTTACTAGTTTTTCTGAGCATACATTTTGTTCAGATTAATGTTTGCTTGGTAGCTAAATGGAAACGCAACATACACGGATCGAAGGCATGCCGTTTGACGATCACAAGAGCCAGTAACAGCCGTCTAAATGAGTGATTTTGAGTAAGTTTAACTGTGTCCAGGTTTGTTCCACCGCGCGATGTCCATCAGCGGGTCACCCATCTCGCAGGTGGCCGTCCGCCCTCACCAGAAGGAGCTGGCGATTAAACAGGCTCAATTACTGAACTGTCCCGTGGACAGCTCTGAAGCCATCGTGTCCTGCCTCAAGACTAAACCTTGGAGGGATATCGCCAATTCGCTCGACAAAATGTTTGTGAGTAGGTCTACATATTTTATTTAGAAATCATAATATAAATACTGTGTGAGCGCAGAGTGGCTCTAATACATATGCGATTCTCAGCTTCACATACAATAATTCTAATAAAAATACTGTAAAATCCCATTCTATTAAATCCAGTCTCTGGTATTAAATTCCTTTGTCCTCCCCGGGAGGCCTGACCTGATTTGGCTAGCGCTGTGAAGTCTGTGTCCTGGAGGAAAGGCTACCTGGGGTCGGGATAGGATGGGATGATACAAACACACAGCATCTCTCCGAGGCCATAAAAGAATGGATGGAGAAAGAGAAAGAAGGGGGGGGGGGGGGGGGGGGGGGTGAAGATAACTCTTTTTTTTTTCAAATATTTTTTTTAATTTAAAATCTCGATAAAATTGGCTAAGTAAGATATGAGTGCAAAATTTAGCAAAATATTAAATTTTAACACCTGGGCCATTCGCTAGTTGTTCAGGGTGATTAATATAAGCAAAATTTACAACAGACAACATTTCGAAACATTGTTTTTGGGTTCCAACAGACGTTCGGCTACGACCCGATACTTCTGTGGGCACCCATAGTGGAGCCCGACGTGGGCCAGGAGAGGTTCCTTGTGGAGAATCCGCTGGAATCCGTACAGAATGGCAGGATGCACCCGGTGCCGTACATCATCAGTCAAACTACCAGGGAATTCTTCTGGAAGGCTTTCTGTGAGTATCTATCAGAAGTAGAGGAAAAAAATAGCCCTTGCTGAGTTTCTTGCCGGTTCTTCTCGGTACAAGGTCTCCCACCGTAGATTTACGAACCGATGGCGTAGCGTTTGACTTTCACAAGAGCTTGTAACAGCCTAGACTGAATAAATGAGTTCGAGTTGAGTTATCTAGTGAGAGCGACAGAATATAGCATCACAAGGAACGGTCCGTATACACATCATCTGAAAAAAAAACCACAATAAAATATCACAACGCTACCGCGAGTACCAATGACAACGGCTTCTGAGTCGCGTACGTTTTTATAAATTTGAAAAGATCGGCGGTTATACCGCATCTTCCCCTTCTCAGAGGATGATCATTTCAGATGAAGCTTGTAAGGCCCTTCTGGCCATAAGCATGAACTATGGGTGAGTTTTAGTTAGTAAGAGTCTGACATAACCTGGCAGCCGGCTAAAGGGTATCCTTGAGGATTTCACACCCGCTCCCCCGCCTGAGGAAACAAAAAAAAACGAAGGTATTCATAGGTATTTAAAAGCAAATTAATATCGAGTAGATTTTGAGTTCGAGCAGTTTAACTTTGTTTAGGTATTTTAGTTGAAATGGATTACATTATTTGGTTTTTCTAATTTCCGATATAGAAAATAAAGGCTCCTGCTCAAATATATTGTGGTAACTACAGGCAACTACGGAACCCTACACGTGGCACTTGGCCGATTTTAGATTGATCTAACTGGGAATCGATTCCTGGACCTCAAAGATGACGACGACACCCAACATCGGCGTATTTCTTGGTTATGGAGGAGGATATTCTCTAAATATTACCTGGTTTCCTGTCACTTTTTTTTTTCTTTTTTTTTCAGCATAACCAACATATCGTAAATTTACAATTACAATTAAACAAATTTAGCTGAAAGGGCCTCATCTCAGCCTGTGCCCCATCCTGGGATGTGGCGCTGTTTTTCAGATGCAGCTGTATTAACAGTTATACCACGTACCTACTAATATTTCTCGTTATTGTGCTTAAATAAATTAAATGTTTATATAATTCTATTCAACTAAGAATAGGACCGACTGGGCGCCATATTGTGATGTCGTAGCTGTCAATTCAAACCAAATAGGTAGAGTGAGCAAAAAAAAGTTTTTATTTAATAAAACTTATTTACTAAGATTAAGTGAGAAAAAGCATCAGATTTTTTAATAACATTTAATTACTCTTATTGAGAGAGAAAAACCACCGATTTTTAATAATATTTATTTATTAAGACTGTGAGAAAAAACATTAATCAGAATCTAGCTCTTCTATTCCGCTCATTTCTCTATTGCCGCCGGAGTAGTTATGAATAATCATGCATTATTACTAGGTCACATACGAACATGCATTCTTTATGTAAACGAAAGTTTGAAATCGAGTTTCTGAACGCAACTTAATGTGACATTTGGTTGCCGATTTAAGTTATCAACCATTCATGGCCAAAGCTCAATAAGTGAAAAAAAAAATTTAACCGATATTAATTATCAATATTTGTTATTGTTTGTTTACAAATGTTTGGTTTTTATTCTTGAATTAGCGGAGTGCTAAAAAAGGGTTGCAAGATTTTTTTGCAAACCGTACTTTTCAAGCGACATTTGATAAATAGAGGTCATTGGCTTTCCTATTCTTATTTGAATCGCATTATAAAGACATTACATAAGTTACTTAATCATTCAATCACCACAGCTAGGAACAAAAAATTTGGAACAAGCCTAATTAATATTAGAACAAATTGCACACGAACTTAGTACAATCCACGTGGTCTTAATATTCCTTTTAGCTATCCTGAAGAACGAGAACTACACAAACACAATGAACGCTGAATGGGAGAGAATAGCCCCTGTGTCCTTCTTACTGCCTCCGGAGAGATCAAAGGAAGCAGCCGACCGACTGAAGCAAGCTTACTTGGATGGGAAACCGTTAAGAAATGACTCGGTTACTGCTGATGGATTGGGGAAGTTGTATGGAGACTCGGTCACAGCATTCGGAGTTCACAGGTACCGGCCTTTTCCATCTCTTATCTATTAGACAAGTCCGTCTGTCTGTGGTGCTGTTTCAGCGGCCAAACCGTAAGAGATAGATAAAGAGAATATTTAAGTTATAAGTTAAGAATAGTCTGATAAGACTACAAACCGGATTTGAGTAACGTAGCACTTCCGGTTTTCGAGAAATCAGGTTTTGGTGAACATTTGGTTCACTGGTTTGCTAGTAGATTTATAATTAGCAATCCACCTCAACCTTGTACAGATGAACGAAGTGTCAATTCTAAGTTGGAGCTTAAAAATTACTAAAGTTTTGCGTGGATTTTTTTCTAGTAAAACTTTTCCTTAGATTTAAACATCTAGCAGTTAAATGCTTAAAAATAAATAAAAACATAATTTTAATTGCTATTTCTTCTTTCAAATGTTTAATACTTGAAAAAGTATTCATTTGACATTGTGGGTTACCTACAATGCGAAGAGATGGCGCTGCCTTGCAGCTTAAGGCTAGGAAAATTTCGACGCGGCCAATAGGGCCGCGGTAGCATAATGGTCAGTGCATTAGCCCGGATTGCGAAGGGTGCGGGTTCGAGTCCCGTCCGCTGCCGGGTCCACGTGAATTTTTTTCTAATAAAACTTTTCCTTAGATTTAAACATCTAGCAGTTAAATGCTTAAAATAAATAAAAACATAATTACTAAAGTTGATTATAGTCCAGTGTACAAAATGTAGCCTACAGGGATAATACAGCATTGTAATGGTGAGAGAAATTATTTATTCGGTCCAGGTGTGTTTGAGTTTATTCTTCTGTTAAAGTCTACTCATCATCAGCCTATTAATGTCCCCACTGCTGGGGCACAGGCCTTCCCTATGGATGGGATAGGGAAATTGGGCCCTGACCATGACCCACCGGGCCCATGTGCTTTGGCGGGTACTAACGACTGAAGATGCAGTAGGGACCAACGGCTTAACGTGCCTACCGAAGCACGAAGATTTTTGGTCACCCACCCAATGACCGACCACTGCAAAAGTTGCTTAACTTCAACGATCGCAGTCTAACAACGTTAACCACCTGCGCCATGGAGCTCCTCAAGGTCTACTCATTGTAGGTATAATTTAATTCTACAATTTTATTATTGCTTGCAAAACCTGTTTTTCATTTCATTTATCGTAATCAAACTCGAGTCTCTACAATTACGCCGTGATGTGGCATCATTAAGCGCATTCTACCGACTATACCACGGCGAGTGTTCTGAGGAGCTATTCTCGCTTATTCCTCCATCACCTTTTCTTCAGAGGACCACGCGCGCTGGCCTACGTTGCCACCGACTTACTGTGGCCACTATTCCTACACGAACAAAGAAATTTAGCGACTCATTTCTTTGTCGTACTATTCGTAAGTGGAATTCTTTACCCGCGCACGTGTTCCCTCCTTCCTATAATCTGGGGTCCTTTAAGAGAGGCGTGAAGAAGCATTTTTGCGGGCCGGCAAGGTGAGGATGGTTGGTGTAGCAGTTAATAACTGCTGTACCAGCTATCTTCGCGTTTGGACTTTATCACCACTTAACATCAGGTGGGGTAGAGTCATTTGCCTACCTAGTAATATAAAAAAAAAAAATGTGTTTGTCAACAGATTAGCAAACTTGATGTGCCGCCATTCTCCTCACAAGGTGTTCTACTATGAGTTCGCGTACGTCGGCAACCGCAGCCACTACCAAAGTCCCGTCACTGGGAAGCCAGTGGGTACGTAATAGGAATAATTTGCCTGAGTCCACTGCACTCCCATCACTTGGCTTATATAGGACTAGCAAACCAGTGAACCAAATGTTCACCAATTAAAAAAAAAATGTATTTAATTAATTGAGAACTTCGGAGATTTTGTGTGGTTTCGTTTGAAATTCGTGATTTCTCGAAAACCGGAAGTGCTACGTTACTCAAATCCGGTTTGTAGTCTTATCAGACTATTCTTAACTTATAACTTAAACGTTCTCTTTATCTATCTCTTATGGTTTGGCCGCTGAAACAGTACCACAGACAGACGGACGGACGGACGGACTTGTCTAATAGATGAGAGATTCTGAGATATTTTTTTCGTTTTTAAAATCTCACGGGATCTTCAATTTTTTTTTCGCCACATGACTTCCATGGGATTTTCAACTAGTTACATTACCTTGACTCCCAAAATTAAATAGTTCATGCATATTATGTATAATATAAAATTCATGATATGAAATCATGAATTTTATTTTTGACGACCTCCGTGGCCGAGTGGTTTATACGCCGGGTTTCATGGTGTCGCCGACTCGAGAGGTCCCGGGTTCGAATCCCTGTGGGGGGCAGATGTTTTGTGAAGAATACGAGCACTTGTACTCCAGTCATGGATGTTTAATATGTATTTGTATACTGTATGTATTCTATCCGTTACCCTAGTATCCCATAACACAAGCCTTACAGTGCTTACTTTGGGGCTACGCTAATTGGTGTGAGTGTTGGAAATATTTATTATATGATAAATTAATGCACAACTTTTGGTTTAATAAGTAGCACGTGATAAACATTTGAATTGAATAAAAGGATCTCACGTTATTTACTTACGTTTATGAAGACCAGAAAAAGTGTATATTCATCATTCTGTTATGTATTTCAGTAGAAACAACTATAAAAAAAAAACAATTTCAAGTTATATTTTTAAGCATTTAACTGATGTTTAAATCTAAACAAAATTAAACTAGAAAATAATCCATAATCCATCAATAATTTCTAGTAAAATTTTCTTCCATTTTCAAGCTGCCGCGAAAACATTGCGAACGCACTCCCCATCAAGCTACCTTGGCCCTGATGGCCGTGTCAAATTTTCTTCAGCATACATACAATGCAACGAGATGGCGCAGCCTTGCAGCCTAGGAAATGCTAGAGAAAATTCCATACAGACACCAGAGCTGCGGCAGCATAATGATCAGTGTATCCTTGATAGCGAAGGGTGCGGGTTCGAGTCACGTCCGCTGCCTGGTGCCTGATTTTTTTTCTAGTATTTTTTTTTAATTTAAAACTGTTTTTCCCTTAGGCGCTGCACATCACGACGACCTGATCTACCTGTTCGGTCTGCCGGTCAGCTTCCCCATCATACCCGCGGATGACTCGCGCGACTCCAGCATCGTAGACTTAATGACGGAGATCGTGTACAACTTCGCTAAGAAAGGGTACGTTAAGTTTTTATTTATTTTTAAGCATTTAACTGCTAGCTAACTAAACCATTATCTTTAACTAGCAAACCGGTGAACCAAATGTTCACCAAAACCTGATTTCTCGAAAACCGGAAGAGCTACGTTACTCAAATCCGGTTTGTAGTCTTATCAGACTATTCTTAACTTATAACTTAAATATTCTCTTTATCTATCTCTTACGGTTTGGCCGCTGAAACAGCACCACGGACAGACGGACTCGGCTAACCGCGTGGTTTTTTTTTCTAATAAACTTTTCTTAATGGTACGTTAATTTCTTTACATAGTATAAAACAAAGTAGCTCCCGCTGTCTGTATTTATTTATTGTGATAAAAACGACAAAAAGAAATTATATTTATCACACATTTACATTTTTCAGTTTCACACATTTTAAATGATTGTCATAATATATCATAAAACGTCAATATTAATATAATATACTATAAATAGGGTAAGCATTACAAATAAATATTAAATGTTTTAACAAAAATGAATGTCAAGCACTATCCTCATTGTCAGTGCAACCAGTATTGCTCCATTGATCCGTCAGACTTTCACAATAACATAATAATGCTGACTTGATGGTAGACCAACTGTCAAAAGAAGAGTCAAATTTAGTGTTGGCGTCCAGGAGTGCATTGAGGTTACGCAATGATCTAACCAAAGGTGACATCGCACGCGCCACGGTGTGGCCCCTGTTTTAGTGAAAGAGCTTATGTTGCCGAGGAGGACCACGCCTGCGTTCCGGTGGAAGCCCAGGTTTATCCGGGACAAACAGAATACACAAAAGATTGTGCAAGTGGAGGCAATCAACAGATCCTTTAAGCTGTCGAACGCCATAATAGCGATGATACGTTATCTGTCGCGCCCCCTATCGTAGGACAGGGAGGGAGCAGCATGACGGCACTCGGTGTCTTTAAAATCATATTTCTCGAGATTATTGTATGAAGCATATATAAAATTTGTTTAACTATTTAATCTTAAAGATATTTACTTGCTATTTATTGATATTTTGAACCAATCATCGCAACAAATAACCTTTGTGTTTTTGTAACGTAATCGCACATGCTCGCAAACTTACCTCTGGTCCAAAATCAAAAGTTTCACCCAAAATCAAAAGTTTAACACTTCACAGACTACATATCTGGTAATAATTATCTCACCCTTCAATAATTTCCTAGGAAATTTATCACAATTTTAACTTAAACTTTTTTCGCGGGTAGGCGTGAAAGGAATAACACTTATAAAAGTTGCTCATAGTTTTATTTAAATTTAAAAATATTTATAGTCTTTATGGTTAGAAAGTAATATCTCCAGTGGCTAAGTTGATATCTCTTACTCCCTCACAAACATTATCTCCAGTGTAACCATGGGCACCACAGCAGAACAGCTTCTTCACAGTATAAACGATCTCACTACAATGTTTGACAGCCGGATGACCGAGTTCGAAAAACATCTTCAAGTACCTGGTTCAAAAGAATCCAACACTACGGTAAAATCCTTAGCTGCTGACTTTGCATCGTTCAAGACATTTGTCTGGAAGACACTCTCCATACTAAAGTCACAGATTGAACTGCTGACATTGGGTTTGGATCGCCTGGATGCATATACCCGCAGGAAGGTTCTCTTGTTTCATGGGATCAGGGAGGATGAGGATGAAGATATAGTAAACAAAACTGTTTCCATATTAACCACCAAATTACAATTAGCCAGTATGAGTTCTGAAGCTATTGGCTCTTGTCATCGGCTTGACACAAATAAAAAGGGTTCAAATCGTCCAGTCCTGGTTCGCTTTATTTCAATGAAACAACGCATGATGGTGTGGAACAGTAAAACCAAGCTGAAGGATTCTAATATATCAGTATCCGAGTTCCTTACTAAGATGAGACAAGAACTTTTTGTAGCAGCTCGCAAACACTTTGGTAGGAAGAAATGCTGGTCAACTGAAGGCGTTATTTCTGTTCTGTTGGCGGACGGTGTGCGTAAGAAAATCTTCTCTAGCAATGATCTCCAACAATTGATACTCAGGCATCCAAATCAATCGGAGGAAGTGGTTCAAGAAAGTGTCAAGTAACATTTCGGTTTGCCTGTCCTCTATTTCTTTGTCGGACTATAACATTGAACTGTGCGGTATGTCGATAATTGTAGTTCAATTACTAACTTCACTTCGTGCGAGCTATTTTGGTCGCAAATGAACATTAATTGTTATTCTACCGTAATTTATCTATTTTTATTGAACAGAATATACTTTTTGATTACAAGTAGAATAAAAATACTGTCGGTAATCTGTCACGTCAATGTCAACTAAACTGCAGTAGAGCAAATGTCATTGTTTTTTTTTACTTACTTCTTTTTTAAAGACAAGGTAATGATATTCATACAGCCAAAGAACTTTTTTTTTTCTCATGACAGTGTTTGTTATCACGTTAACTAATTTTGGTTAAAATTAAATTTCAAAATTTGTAATCGGCATAAACCTATTGTCCAATGTGTTTTGTTTTCTGTAGCTGTTTTGCCTTGAAATGTGTCCGGTTATCGGAGATTCTTCTTCAAGTCAACTTGGGCTTACGGAGGTTTTTTAAATTAATTGATTTTTTTTATTACTGTTATTTTATTTTATTTTATTCATTTTTTTGTTATTATATTATATATATTATCTTTATATATGTTAGTGAATGATGAATATTTTTCTTGTTCGTCTGACGAATATGAAAGTGCAGATAGTAATGATTCTTTGCTTTTTGATTCAAAACCTTTGAATTACAAATTGTTAGAAACTTTTGGTAAAAATCCCAATTTTCTTTCCCTTGTGCATATCAACGCCCAAAGTATTCCATCCCATTATAATGATCTTCTTACTTCCTTTGACAATGGCGTAGTTGACTGTATACTTATTTCGGAAACTTGGTTAAAGCCTTCCCTTTCTAGCACATGTTTCTCTATCCCGGGCTATAAGCTTTTTCGCAATGATCGCACTGGTCTAGGGGGCGGTGTTGTAGGTATCTATCTGCGTAGTCATATTCCTGCCAGAGTAATCATGCATTCTCCATCACATTACACTGGCGCCATTGAATATTTATTTGTTGAGATTATTACACGCCATACAAAGATTCTCCTAGGGGCCCTTTATAGTCCAAACGATCAGGTGGATTATTTTAACTCTCTTGAGAGTGCGCTTGAGGATGTAGTGCCTGTTTACGACCAGATCATCTTGATGGGTGATCTTAACACTTGTCTTTTAAAAAATGATACTAGAGCTGGTAAGCTTAATAGTCTGACATCTTCTCTCAATCTCCATATTCTCCAAAAGTCGTCTCCAACTCATTATTTCCCAAACTCCAAACCATCTCTTCTTGATCTTGTTATTGTTTCTAACCCTGACTTGGTTGGTGCTCATGGACAAATGACAGCACCCTTTTCTTATCATGACCTCATCTTTCTATCTCACAAAGTACGTGTTCCCAAAGCCAAACCTAGAGTTCGTTTTCTGCGCAATTTTAAGCAAATGGATCTTGAACGCTTGAGGGTTGATATGAGAGATATAGATTGGTCTCCGGTTCTACTTGCTCACAATATAGATGCGATGGTGGAATATTTTACTAGTACTCTGACGAAAATGTACGACATTCATGCTCCAGTGCGACCAGTTCGCCTTAAACACATTCCCGCCCCTTGGTTGACTCCAGCCATTCGTAGAGTTATGGCAAAGCGTGACAAGGCTAAAAGCCGTCAAAAACTTTCACCGTCCATTGAGAACTTGCAAGCTTACAAGAAGTTGCGCAATCTTTGCAATAGGATGTGCAGGGATGCTAAGCGCAAGTATATTCATGATCAAATTGAGGGTTCGGACCAGAGGCAGATCTGGAGTTTCTTAAGATCATTGGGAGTAGGCAAGCCACCGGATACAAGTCAGAATATCATAGATCTCAATTCCCTGAATAAACACTTTTCTTCACCACCTTTGACTCTAGATAATCTTTCTAAGTCTAATACCCTCTCCCTATTGTCTAGTCTTAATCAACCTCAAAGTAATAATCATCCCTCGTTTTCTTTCAACTCAGTTTCAGAGGAGGACGTGGCAAAAAGTATTAAATCTATCTCCACCAAAGCCATTGGTAGTGATGGTCTTAGTCTAGACATGCTTCTTCCGGTGCTGGAGTACATTGTTCCCATAATCACACACATAATTAATTTTTCGTTGGAAAACAATGTCTTTCCGTCATCATGGAAGAAAGCTCATGTCATTCCCATTCCAAAAACTCCCAATCCATCTTCACTCTCCCAGTTTCGGCCTATTTCTATTCTTCCCTTACTCTCTAAGGTTTTAGAATCTGTAGTCCACAAACAGTTGTATTCCTTTCTCGTATCTAATTCCTTATTATGTCCTTACCAATCCGGTTTTCGCCCATCTCACGGCACAGTTGGTGCACTGCTCAACATAACTGAGGACATTCGCTCTGCTATGGACAACACCAAACTAACAGCTATCGTATTATTAGATCTGAGCAGCGCATTTGACTGTGTCGACTTCGACCTCTTACTCTCTACTTTAAGTTACTTTGGCGCGTCCTCTGTGATTGGATGGTTCCGTTCATATCTTTTCAATCGATTCCAGCGTGTCCAACTAAATGACGAATTCTCTGATTGGTCGAATGTATCAGCTGGTGTGCCTCAAGCAGGTGTTCTCTCACCTTTATTATTTTCGTTATTTATTAACAATATTTCTCGTGTCCTCTCTTGCCCTTTTCACCTTTACGCTGATGACCTGCAAATTTATAAAGATTTTGCCTTAGCTGAAATCACTGATGCCATTACTTTTTTAAATAGGAATCTAACATCCATTCAAAACTGGACTGCTTCGTTTGGTCTCTTAGTTAACCCGAATAAATGTCAAGCCATGATTGTCGGTAGTAGCAGGATTAGATACAAATTAGACTGGAACTTGATACCTCCCATTAAATATAACGACGTGCCTATACCTTACACCGATAAAGTGAAAAACCTGGGCTTAATTATGGATAGCACAATGTCATGGTCCCCACATATTAGTGAAGTCAGTAAACGTATTCATTACTCATTTCACTCCCTCAAGCGGCTTCAATTTTTTCTTCCCTTCAAAACCAAAATTATGCTGGCGCAATCACTCCTTCTCCCCATTCTCGACTACGCCGATATTTGCTACTTGGATGTAACTGAAGATCAATTGAATAAGCTAGAGCGTCTCCAAAATCTTGCAATTCGTTTCATATTCGGATTGCGTAAATATGACCGAGTTTCTGCTTTTCGCTCTCAATTGAAATGGCTTCCCATTCGTCTTCGACGTGATATGCATATCCTATCATTCTTGTTTAAAATCCTCAAAGATCCTAGTTCTCCTCATTACCTTGTTTCCCGTTTCAAAACGCTTCCTCCTCCTACTCGTCCTAAAAGGTCTTGCAACACGAAGACACTTGAACTACCAAAAAGTAATACCAACTTCTTTTTCCATTCCTTTTCTGTTCGTGCTGCTTTACTCTGAAACAGACTTCCCTCTAATATTCAAGACTGTCCTTCTATTGTCTCTTTTAAAGCAAAGGTCAAAGAGCACTTTCTGGAAATAAATTCCCACTCTTAGTTGTCTATTTATTCCACTCTTTGTTTTATCTTAACATAATTTCATGTAATGTGTATTTATTATTTTATAGTGTATGTATGTATATGTATATATATGTATGTATGTGTGTATGTATGTATTTATTGTAAGTATTTGTGTATATGCATATGAATATATATTTATGTATGTAGTCTTAGATAGTTATATAATCTGCAAGTAAGTACTTAGTGCACATCTCTACTCCCGCTTACTTTTTTCTCTCACTAAACCTTGGTTGGCTGGAAGAGATCTCTCTTAGAGATAAGCCCTCCTTTGCTCACATATTTATGTTTTGTATCTTACAATTTTTTGTGTGCAATGAAGAGTAAATTAAAAAATAATTAAAAAATTAAACTTCCACAATTAAACGCAAAAGACGCGGCAGTGTTGACGACGAACCGTCGACTAACTTCATATGTAAATATTTTTGGTTTTGGCTATGGAATGCTACGTCAATCTTTAAACAAACCGTTAGGTTGGTTCTTCAATATTATTTTGAGCTCTAACCCAAGAAGCTTAAGTCCAATTTATTAATAATTCACTTATGTGAAGTTCCCAACCTTCCCAACTGTCTAATAGCCGTCTGGCGGTTAGTACACAGATCTGTACATTTTTATTTTCACCGTCTGACTGAGGCTCGACAGCGGAGGGGTCGACGAGTCTTCTCACCTCGAGGGAATTGAAGCCGAGATGTCCGACTAAAAATTTTGTTGGGTAACGAAATGGATTAATAATATAATTAATTAATCCTATATTAAATAGGAATAGGATTTTTTGTAGAGAAACCTTAAAAAGGCCTTCTGTACCTTCTCAAACATTCGCACATATCGACCTATGCATAGAATAAAGTTACATATGAAAATGTTACCAAATTGATTTTATTGTACTTTTAGGCGAAACAGACGCATATGTTTTACTGGTAAAAACATTTATTTTAAAACTTATATAACTTTGAAGATAGCAATTGAATAAAGGTCCATGATTTTTGTTTCCGAAGAATATAGAGCCAAGAGCACAAGAACCTTTTGGATAGGCAAGAACGCAGCCTGCACGGCTTCAGTTTTGTTATAAACTGAAAATTTTAACTAAATGTTTGATTCTATTTTTATTGTTTGATCGATTATGCCCAATCTTTGCCATATTATCATAATGTGACGCGAAAGAAAATATAAATTACGTAAAACAAAGTTATATCTACATATAATTTGACACGTTTCCCAAGCACAAGGTCTGATATGCATATGTAACATAAAGATGTCCGTAGTAAATTGTCACATAATCACATAAGAAACTCTTAAATAACGAAATATAAGCCGTAAATGTAGTTTTTTTTAAACAATAAATGCGTTATAATTTGCTTCTTAATGCTTTATATGATTAGTAAAAAAATTCAAATGATAGAAAAATACCAATACAAGTTACAGCATATTTTACAAACTTAAAAGCGCTCTACTGTAAAGTTGTGATTATGCAGAAGTAGCTTTATTCTATGGATAGGTCGATATGTCTGTAAGCTTGGACCTTCTAAACATGGACAGCATAGACATAGATAACTGACTGAGCGTTCCCTGTCCAACTATAAAACAAAATTATCCAGATAACCGTGAGGGAGACAAAGCGATCGGCCATTAGTTCGTAAACATGCGAGTGTTTACCACAGAAGTATACACTAAACCACTTCTTTAATAAACGAAGAATAAGTTTGGATTAGTTACTCTATGTTTTGTCTCTGTGCATTGAATTACAAACGGCATTTCAGTGATAAAAAAAATGTGTGCGTGTACTAGTGTACACACGTAAGAAGTGAAACTTCTTTATGGCCTTATTTTTCGAAAAATGATCTACATGCAACTTTCCAGAAATTGGTTAAATAAAGTTAAATTAGATAAAGTTTAAACAAAAGGATTTTATTATCATAGACATGAATACATTCCACTGCCTATGAAACTGTTATGATTACACGGCTCAGTAATCTAAGGCACATGTTCCACCTCCGACGATGAACGATAAGCGAGTAGAAACTAGAAACGAATGGGCAGTCCTGAGTTAAAATGCACGCGCACGGCTTTTGACAGCCAAGCCAGCTTAACCGAGCGCGTATCGCTGAGCGAGTATCGCTGAGCGAGTACCGCTGAGCGAGTATCGCTTAGCGAGTATCGCTGAGCGAGTATCGCTATGCGAGTTTGGCTGAGCGAGTCTTATCTTTAATAACTATTGTCACTCAGCTACAAACGAGTAGAGAGAGTTCTCGCCGGCGACAGTGTGATCATTCAGCTATCAACTATTAATATAAAAAAAGATGGCGCGTAACGGAAAAATGTGACGCGTAACCGAAAAATGTGACGGTAATTTTTTTTCCAACGCCGATAAAGAAGTTTCACTTCAATAAATAAATAATAATAAAAAAATGGGTGCGTGTACTTATGTAGGCGCGTGAGAAGTTATCCTTCTTTGGCATCGTTTAAAATTAGTTTTTAATTGCATGCAAATAATTAATTACAATAAATTAATAAAAAGTCTGGAAAAGGACACAGTCAATAAAGTTCAGTTTTAATTTGAAAAAATAAATAAATAATCAAAATATTCAATTAAAATCGCTACTGAATATAATTTATTAGAACATATGTGATTTGCACTTGTATGAAACTCAAACACGTATTCCGAATATACAAACTAGAAACATGTGGATAAATATTATAAATATGAATACCTATAACTGTTACTTTATGACAAAAAATAAAGATGTGGTTTTTGGTTCTACTACACCAATGGTCAAGAGATGGCGCTGTAGTCTCCTGAATCGCGCTTTGGTTGCGTTGTTCCAGATTAATAAATACTTTTGATAGGCCTTCACAATGCAGTCGTTAGCACCCACTAAATAGAGGTTCTATTTCTATTTTGTTGGTAGATTTTCTTAATGTGCGGTAAACACAAAAGTAACAGCATGAAGTTGGTCGCTTTAGCTAAAATTTTGTGTTACAGTGATGCGCGCGCATCTTAAAATTTCACTCTCATCATTTTTTCATAACGCGCCTAAAGAAGTATAACTTCAATAAATATTTTCAACACTCACACCAATTCGCCTAGCCCCAAAGTAAGCACTGTAAGGCTTGTGTTATAGTTTACTAGGGTAACGGATAGAATACATAAAAAGTACATAAATAAGTATATTTATATAGAAATAAATATTAAACATCCATGACTGGATGGAATAAAAATGCTCATATTCATCACACAAACATCTGCCCCCACCGGGATTCGAACCCGGGACCTCTCAAGTCGGCGACACCATGAAAACCGGCGTACAAACCACTCGGCCACGGAGGTCGTCAAATAGTGATAGGAACAAAACACGGCGTAACTGGTCTTAGCTCATTCCTCGTTTATTAAAAAGGGGGTAAGAGTATTCTAGCTAGATAGCACGGGCGGTTAGCGATCGTTGAAGTTAAGCAACTTTTGCAGTGGTCGGTCATTGGATGGGTGACCAAAAATCTTCTATCTCGTGTTCCTCTGTGCTTCGGAAGGCACGTTAAACCGTTGGTCCCGGCTGCATCTGCAGTCGTTAGCACCCACCAATCCACACTGGGCCCGCGTGATGGTTCATGGTCTATCTCCCTATTCCATCCATAGGGAAGACCTGTGCACCAGCAGTGGGGACATTAATAGGCTGATGATGAAGAGTATTGTTCATTGTACTCTTCTATATCAATGATTATACCTATATACACTATGTTTAAAGTATTAATTTACCTCCCACGCTAAATAAGAAAACGGGGTATTTTCGGTATTCCGGTATTTTATGTATTCCGGTAATATTTCCAATATTCCCTGGAATTTTAAAATTTACATACTGCAAATTTACGATGTGTATATAATACTAACTGTATGTGTATATTTCCAGGGACCCCAACCCCCTGTCGATGGGTCCCTCATGGCCCGCGATGACGCCACAGCATCGACAGTTCCTGAGAGTATCGTCACCGCCCACTGTTCAACAGAATATGTTCGAGGACCGCTTCCGAGTGTGGGACGAGATATACCCGATCAAATACTGACATCAGAGATCTCAATAGACCACTGAAGAGATTAAGAAGTGTTAATTCTAAGTTGGAGCATAAAAATTACTAAAGTTGATAATAATCCAGTGTAAAGTGCGATTCAACTAAGAATAGGACCGACTGGGCGCCATATTGTGATGTCATAGCTGTCAATTCAAACCAAATAGATAGAGTGAGCAAAAAAAAGTTTTTTCATCCCACCACCTCGGAAAGTGTAATTTTGCGCTTCGAAATCTGGCTGGAAAATTCTATTTTATTCGCTTGAGCGGCAAAGTAGATTTGAATTTAGAACATCACATATAATGAGTACTCAATATAATTGTAAATTCAAAACGTCATTAAACCTATTTAATGTAACCTCTATGGTGCCAAATTTATGATTAGAACTTTTTAAATTGTGAAAAAATTTAAATTTGGAACCTTCTTGGTTTCTTTGTTTTATTTGCGTGCTTCGCGCCATTCTAGTTTTTCACGTTTTATTGCTTAAATATTTTGTCATTATAAATTGTTTTCTTTTTCATTTTGTCATTTCCTCGCTGAGGTGGGATGAAAAGTTACGTATTGCACTCGAGTGGAAAGATTTTTCACCTTGTGCTCGTTTGTTTCCCTCGCTGACGCTCAGGATTCTAATTTAGAATCACTCGCTGCGCTCGTGATTCAACTTTAGAATCCTTCGCTTGCTCGGTCATCCAAATCGAGCACGCGGTTAAAAAGGAACTTTCCACTCTTGTATAATAAATAACTATTATTTAACAAAACTTATTTACTAAGATTAAGTGAGAAAAAGCATCAGATTTTTTTAATAACATTTATTTACTAAGATTGAGAAAAAAAAACATCGATTTTTAATAATATTTATATATTAAGACTGAAAAAAAAGATTAATCAGAATCTAGCTCTTCTATTCCTCTCATGTTATGAATAATCATGCACTATTACTAGGTCACATACGAACATGCATCCTTTATGTAAACGAAAGTTTGAAATCAAGTTTCTGAACGCAACTTAATGTGACATTTGGTTGACGATTTAGGTTATCAACCATTCATGGCCAAAGCTCAATAAGTGAAAAAAAATATCTACCGATATTAATTATCAATATTTATTATTGTTTGTTTACAAATGTTTGGTTTTTATTCTAGAATTAGCGGAGTGCTAAAAAAGGGTTCCAAGTTTTTTTTTGCAAACCGTACTTTTCAAGCGACACTTGACAGATAGAGGTCATTTAGAGAGGCTTTCCTATTCTTATTTGAATCGCATTATACAATTTGTTACATTTATTTATTGTGAATTTATTTTATTATCAATTAAACTTTTGGTTTAACAATGAACTGTTTGACTTATTTATTTGACGGCCCTCGTTACCTAAGTATCGTATTACACAAGCCTCACGGTGCTTACTTTGGGGCTTGGATAATTAGTGTGATGATAAGACATATATATTATATGTATGTATGTGTATATCTCCAAGAACCCCAACCCCCTATCTCTGGGTTCAGCGTCACCCGCAATGACACCGCAGCATCGGTAGTTTCTAAGAATATCGACACCAGCCACTGTTCAACAGAATATGTTGGAGGACCGCTTCCGAGTGTGGGATGAGATATACTCGAACAAATACTGATACATGCAGACTCAATCGATTCTGGAAGCCGTACTCAGGGACGACCGTTAACTACTAAAGCAGACGGTTCAAAAATGTTAGTTGTTTCCCGGCAGCGACGAAACGTATATATATGTAAATGAGGTTCATTACCCTTCATTCAATACAGACGGTAAAATTTTGAGTGACCATAGAAAAAGATATGGTTTTGACTGTTGTGGAGGCCCCGGGCCACTTAGGATTTGCATACTTGTTGACCCATCGAAATTTTGTTATTTCTTAAGCTGTTGTGGAGGCCCCTGGGCCACAGCCCCACCTGCCCTGCCTTTAATTCGGCCCTGAGATTAATATAATCAAATAATCATGTATGTTAGATGTACAAAGTACTGTAGGCTGTAGGTGAAGGTAAAAGAGCAAAAAAAAATATCAAAGGAAAAGATGTTTACTAGTGTTTACTAGTTGGAATTTGATGGATTTTTTTTCCGAAGTCTCTATTGAGGGGGGCCCCCATTTGTGGAGGCCCCGGGGCGTTGGCCCCGGTTGCCCTCCCCTAAATCCGGCAGTGCAAAAAGCATGCAAGGGTTGGAGTAGTTTTAGAAAAACCTATTTGTATATACTACTAGCTGTCACAGCGAACTTCGTACCGCCATAAAAAATAGGGGTTGGTGGCAGAAGGGTGAAAATTGAGGGCTGTATGTATTTTTGTATGATGTATCTTAAAATAAAAGAAACAAAAAAAATTGCCTAAAAAAACAATTTAAGGGTGGACCCTTAACATTTAGGGGGATGAAAAATAGATGTTGTCCGATTTTCAGACTTACTGAATATGCATATAAAATTTCACACAGAATATAGGTCGAGCCGTTTCGGAGTAGTTCAATTACGCACATCGGGACACAAGAATTTTATATATATTAGATTAGATGTAATTAGTCGCATCAATGCACTCGCACTTAATACAAGATTGAAATTTTCTGAAGTCAAAAGAATAACGAGACAAAATATTCTTATTTTCTACATGCCATTTAATTCGCTTTGCGACCATTGTATGGAATATTTTACACAAGCACGAGATTAAAGATATTGGACTTAATTTAATTTTCAAAGTATTTTGTCAAATATATTTTTTTGGTATTGGTACTATTTTACCATTACACTACCCAATTTTAAGGCCCTATCAAAAGGGTTGGCGTAATATTACACCGCCCTATCAATCGTGCCTAACTTAGTCTGAAACTAAAAGTCGTCTGTCGTCTCCGTTGAACGTCATCTTTATGGCACCGGATGCATTCTGAACAGATTTTTATAAACTTCTCTAAATCCTTAGGCATTTTACTCTATATTTAAAGGGAAGTATGTAAATTATCATATATTTTTTTAATTCTTACATAAATAAGTACAATTGGTAACTTAAGGATATATTAGATAACCAATTGTAGTTTTTTGAGGATCAATAACTATTTTCGCTGATTATTTAAATAAGTACCTTATTTAAACAGGTTTTGATTTCCTTATTCAACAAAAATTATAGAGCTCAATTAAAATTCAGTGACACTTCTTTCTCTTCGTTTGATGCCACCGTTCCAATAAAGTAATTCAACTACAAAAACGTCCGTACTATTCGCTCCAGAGTGACGACTGAGATTCCTGCTTAACAGCTATTTCACTGCCTTATCGTCAGGGCCAGGTGTAGGGGAGTAATGAAAATTGGGTCCCTTACTCCCTAACTCATATTACACCACTTAGTCAGGGTAAGGGTACTGTGGCGACATCTACATGCCCCACATATATACAACGGATGGAGGAAAACATTACCCACCATCCTCAAGAGATGGCGTTACCTGCACTGCGATCATAATAGTATGGGAGCCTAAATCGCGCAAGTAAAATTCGAAGGCTAACACTTCATATATACGATGCCCGACCAACATCAGTCGGGCCGCGGCCCCCGAGCTACCATTACCCAGTTCGGAGGAAGATCTTCCCCTTTGGCCTTCCTTCCTACAGTACCCTTAAAATTGGGTAGTCTAACAGGCGTTGGGAACAAAGACAGTCAAATAAATAAGTTCAAACAGTTCATTGTTACACCAAAAGTATTTTATTGACCAAAAATAATTCACATCAAATAAACGTAACAAATTTTAGACTGAACGTCACAATTTTATCAACTTTAGTAATTTTTAAACGGCAACTTATTATTTAGCACTTCTTAATCTCCTCAATAGTCTATTGAGTCATAATATATCAGTATTTGATCGGGTATATCTCGTCCCACACTCGGAAGCGGTCCTCGAACATATTCTGTTGAACAGTGGGCGGTGAAGATATACTCAGGAACTGTCGATGATTCGGTGTCATCGCGGGCCATGAGGGACCCATCGACAGGGGGTTGGGGTCTCTGGAAATATACAATACAATACACAATACTTTATAAAAAACACCACAGCACAGAACAGAAATGAGGGAAATTATAATTGTAAAAAAAACAGTGTTTCAATGGGTGGTCTTATCGCTAAAAGCGATTTCTTCCAGACAACCTTTGGATGGAGAGGATTGAAAGAAAGCTGGAGTCGGCGGTGTCAGTAAAAGAAACAAGGGATATAAAAAAATATGAATTAAATATATGTACCTACATATATAAATAGACTACACATAAATAAGTTAATATACATAAATGGCTCAATTGAACTGCGTCATTAGCCAGTATTCGGGTGCACGAAAGATATTACTCGAATTCAGGCACCCGAAGTATTATTTACACTGGAATACGAGCTGGAAGTCGGTGATGGGTGACCGAAACGAAAGCTACCCGGGCGTACTAGACTCCAATAGTTTACATTTAGTCGCAGAGTCGTCTTTAACCTATTGGAGGCCCTGCCCTCCTAGCATGAGCACCGCGATATGATATATAACGCGTTTTTATCACGTTCAACTGTCAAATTACCATGGAGTTTGACAGACGCGAAAAAGAATGTGATATAATGTAAATTGTAGTGCTCATGCTACGGGGGCTGGGCATATTAGGATATTGGGGCCCCTATGACCGCCGTTTGGTGATTTAACAAGATCTAGGGACTTTGTATTTGTGATCTGAGGTGCCCACCTATCGATCACGTGGCCCTAGGCACTTGCCCAAAGTGCTCACTGGGAAAGACGGAGTCTGCTTAGTCGTTTATTGGCACTCGTATTCGGGCTAACGAGTAGAATGTATTTAGTTCCATTTGGTTACGAAAGATGGTGGTAATAAAATGTGTCAAATGTTCGGGTATATGTTCTAAATCGCGCTGTAGAAATTATTTTATGTATATACTTATGATAGATGAATAAGGTTCAAAATTGCGAATAAATTGGGCCACAGTGATCTGTGGAAACAGGGTGCCAGTTTTTTTTGATTTAAGAAACCCCCTGTCAATCAACCCCCAGAAACCAACCCTTAATTAGTACAGGGTTGTACAGTATTTGAGCCAAAACAAATGTCGATTCTGGCATGATTCTCTAAAGCTAAACTTAAATTTGACTATGACAACAGTGCGTCCTTATCATTCTCTATACAGAGTGAATAGGAGAGACTGATGTTAAATTTAGTTTTAAGTTTCGAGAATCATACCAGAATCGACATTTACAGTGCTTTACTGAACAGATAATTGCATATCCATTGATGCTTTTCAGAACAATTACCTTAGTGGTCCATTCCCACTTCACGTGATCATTTCCACAAATTGCATGAAAGCAAGAGGAAAGATGTTACACATCAATAAATATATATTACTAGCTGACCCAGCGAACTTCATACCGCCATAAAAATAGGGGCAGGTGTGAGAAAAGAAAATTTAGGGTTGTATGTCTTTTTAATACCACATTATATAAGAAATAATATTGTCCAAAAAAAATGTTAGGGGTGTGTAACTTAGTGTTCTCATCAATTTCCTGGGATAACATTCCTCCTAACCCATATGAGAACACTACGTTACAATACCCATAAGTTTGAATTTTGGCGCGAAGGCGCATTGTAGATTTCAGGACACTACGTTACAGGTGGACAACCATTATCATTTAAGAATATGAAAAATAGATAGTAGCCGATTCTCAGACCCACGGAATATGCATATAAAATTTCATAAAAATCAGTCAGGCCATTTCGGAGGAGTATGGTAACTAACATTGTGACACGAGAATTTTATATATAAGACTAGCTGACCCAGCGAACTTCGTACCGCCATAAAAAAATAGGGGTTGGTGGTAGAAAGTTGAAAATTTAGGGTTGTATGTATTTTTGTATGATGAATCATAAAAAAAATGGGTGCGTGTACTTATGTAGGCGCGTGAGAAGTTATCCTTCTTTGGCATCGTTTAAAATTAGTTTTTAATTGCATGCAAATAATTAATTACAATAAATTAATAATAAATGACATTTCATTTCATTTCATTTCATTTCATTTCATTTCATTTCATTTCATTTCATTTCATTTCATTTCATTTCATTTCATTTCATTTCATTTCATTTCATTTCATTTCATTTCATTTCATTTCATTTCATTTCATTTCATTTCATTTCATTTCATTTCATTTCATTTCATTTCATTTCATTTCATTTCATTTCATTTCATTTCATTTCATTTCATTTCATTTCATTTCATTTCATTTCATTTCATTTCATTTCATTTCATTTCATTTCATTTCATTTCATTTCATTTCATTTCATTTCATTTCATTTCATTTCATTTCATTTCATTTCATTTCATTTCATTTCATTTCATTTCATTTCATTTCATTTCATTTCATTTCATTTCATTTCATTTCATTTCATTTCATTTCATTTCATTTCATTTCATTTCATTTCATTTCATTTCATTTCATTTCATTTCATTTCATTTCATTTCATTTCATTTCATTTCATTTCATTTCATTTCATTTCATTTCATTTCATTTCATTTCATTTCATTTCATTTCATTTCATTTCATTTCATTTCATTTCATTTCATTTCATTTCATTTCATTTCATTTCATTTCATTTCATTTCATTTCATTTCATTTCATTTCATTTCATTTCATTTCATTTCATTTCATTTCATTTCATTTCATTTCATTTCATTTCATTTCATTTCATTTCATTTCATTTCATTTCATTTCATTTCATTTCATTTCATTTCATTTCATTTCATTTCATTTCATTTCATTTCATTTCATTTCATTTCATTTCATTTCATTTCATTTCATTTCATTTCATTTCATTTCATTTCATTTCATTTCATTTCATTTCATTTCATTTCATTTCATTTCATTTCATTTCATTTCATTTCATTTCATTTCATTTCATTTCATTTCATTTCATTTCATTTCATTTCATTTCATTTCATTTCATTTCATTTCATTTCATTTCATTTCATTTCATTTCATTTCATTTCATTTCATTTCATTTCATTTCATTTCATTTCATTTCATTTCATTTCATTTCATTTCATTTCATTTCATTTCATTTCATTTCATTTCATTTCATTTCATTTCATTTCATTTCATTTCATTTCATTTCATTTCATTTCATTTCATTTCATTTCATTTCATTTCATTTCATTTCATTTCATTTCATTTCATTTCATTTCATTTCATTTCATTTCATTTCATTTCATTTCATTTCATTTCATTTCATTTCATTTCATTTCATTTCATTTCATTTCATTTCATTTCATTTCAATGTTCCGTTCAAATCTGCCCTGTTTGCTTTGTTCAAATCTGCCCCACGGTCACTTGGAAAATAAAATATTACAAATAACGCGCCCGCGGCTAACTTCATTATGTTAAAATTTTGTGTTACAGTGATGAAAATTTCACTCTCATAATTTTTTCATAACGCGGCTAAAGAAGTATAACTTCAAAAATGGGTGCGTGTACTTATGTAGGCGCGTGAGAAGTTATCCTTCTTTGGCATCGTTTAAAATTAGTTTTTAATTGCATGCAAATAATTAATTACAATAAATTAATAAAAAGTCTGGAAAAGAAGACCACGCGGACCAGGCAGCAGACGGGACTCGAACCCGCACCCTTCGCAATCCGGGCGTATGCACTGACCAATTATGCTACCGCGGCCCTCACGGACCGCGTCGAAATTCTTTCTAGCTATTCTTAAGCTGCAAGGCAGCGCCATCTCTTCGCATTATAGGTAAACCCACAATGTCAAATGAATACTTTTACAAGTATTAAACATTTGAAAGAAGAAATAGCAATTATAGTTATAATTTTTATTATTTTTAAAGCATGTAACTGCTTGATGTTTAAATCTAAAGAAAATATAACTAGAAAAAATTCCACGCGGACCAGGCAGCAGACGGGACTCGAACCCGCACCCTTCGCAATCCGGGCGAATGCACTGACCAATTATGCTACCGCGGCCCTCACTGGGTTACCGGGTTACCTGGGTTACTCATTGTGGGTTTACCTATAATGCGAAGAGATGGCGCTGCCTTGCAGCTTAAGAATAGCTAGAAAGAATTTCGACGCGGTCCGTGAGGGCCGCGGTAGCATAATAATTGGTCAGTGCATTCGCCCGGATTGCGAAGGGTGCGGGTTCGAGTCCCGTCTGCTGCCTGGTCCGCGTGGAATTTTTTCTAGTTATATTTTCTTTAGATTTAAATAAATAAATAATCAAAATATTCAATTAAAATCGCTACTGAATATAATTTATTAGAACATATGTTATTTGCACTTGTATGAAACTCAAACACGTATTCCGAATATACAAACTAGAAACATGTGGATAAATATTATAAATATGAATACCTATAACTGTTACTTTATTACAAAAAATAAAGATGTGGTTTTTGGTTCTACTACACCAATGGTCAAGAGATGACGCTGTAGTCTCCTGAATCGCGCTTTGGTTCCGTTGTTCCAGATTAATAAATACTTTTGATAGGCCTTTACAATGCAGTCGTTAGCACCCACTAAATAGAGATTCTATTTCTATTTTGTTGGTAGATTTTCTTAATGTCCGGTAAACACAAAAGTAACAGCATGAAGTTGGTCGCTAAAGCGAAGCTAAAGCGACCAACTTCATGCTGTTAAAATTTTGTGTTACAGTGATGCGCGCGCATCTTAAAATTTCACTCTCATCATTTTTTCATAACGCGCCTAAAGAAGTATAACTTCAAAAATTAAAAAAAAAATAGGTGTGGATTACCCTTAACATTTAGGGAGATGAAAAATAGATGTCGTCCGATTCTCAGACCTACCCAATATGCACAGATAATTCCATGAGAATCGGGTAAGCCGTTTCGGAGGAGTTTAACCACAAACACCGCGACACGAGAATTTTATATATTAGAAGATAACGTACCCTTTGTCAGCGAAGTTGTACATGATGCCCGTCATCAGGTCCACCATGCGGGAGTCTGTCTCGCCGCCCGCGGGGATGGCGGGGAAGTCGGCCGACAGACCGAACAGGTAGATGAGGTCGTCGTGGTGCGCCGCGCCTGACAGATAACATTTTTGCTTTATTGCCAACAACAGTTATTGCCGGTATTTTTGGCGGGATCGGTAAACGTCACTTTAGCAGTTTTGTTTTTCTTGTTAAAAATTGTGTTGTGGTGGATGTTAGTGTCTAATAATGGTGGATTATTAACCACTAAGTGTTCGGGAACATGCACAAGTGTTGGCAAGCGAAACGAAATAGCGGAAAGTGTCTTTCGACGTTCCCTCAAGAAGTCCACGGGGAGGTTCCGGTAAATCCCCACACTTTTACTGAAACATAGAGAAAGGGGGATTGACTTGACTGCCGCTCACTTTGACTTGATTTATTACTTTGACCACGAGTGCTATAGAATTTGTAAACATTTTAACACTAGACATTGGCTAAATGCACAAGCCGTGCGAAGCCATTTAGAAAAAAAAAACAGTAATGCCGCATATTCATTAGGCAACATTTGTTGATTATTTGGTTTACCAAATAAATTGTTTATGAAGTTCAACAACTTGTTTATAAACAACCGTTAACAATGTTTCTGAAACTTTGCCGTCCACACTAGTCAGTTGTTGCTAGGAAGTCGTTACTTATGTAAGTAATTCATGAGAGTAGAACAAGAAACGAAAGCCGGTGAGTTCGAAACTACATTTAAATGGAAGTTATGTGTTTGATGACCTAAAAGTGGATTTGATAGGTCTTTTCATAGTTTCACTAGAACGTCAAATACTGATTTTCAAATGTTTTTAAAATTAATTGAGCCAATAATAACAAGACAGGAAGCGAAATTTCGGAATCTCATTAATATTTCAAGGATTTTGGCTGGACATACTGAAGGTCTATCGTTATAATAAAGTCAGTAAATGGTGAGCTCGATTTATAGTTGAAGACTTAATCTGATCAGTGATATTTAATTTTGAAACTTTCATTAGAAATCAAATTAATATTTGACTTGATTTTAAATAAAAAAAGTATGTTATGAGCAATAAAAAGAGTCAAAGAGTTAAGCCCTAGCTAAGATTAGCTATTGCTTTAAGATTTCTTGCAACAGGTGAGTTATATGTCTCACTGTCACATACTTTTAAAGTAACAAAACAATTAATCAGCAGGATCATATCAGAAGTATGATCATCTAAACTTGGTAATTAGACGACACTACGTCCATGTTTAAATAAACTATAAACAACACACTTCTACGTTTATAAACTAAACGTTTCGCCTTGCTCTCCATTCAGAGTGCAGAACATGGCAACATGTATCTGAAACAATGTTTCGTCACCTTTCTTTATAAACTGTTTCGAAACTGTATAAAGAGGTGATACAACATTGTGAAACACTGTTATATAAACAAATGTTGCCTAACGAATACGCAGCTTAATACTAGGTAATTAGAACAAAAGAATGGACATGGCGAATTGGATCTCACAGAGGACCAGAGTGAAATAACACTGCCTTTTGGTGGTGTCGTCTTTCTGTCAGTGAGTAAGGAAGGTCGTCTTTACAGAATAAGCGATGTGGTCAGTACCATTATCGAATTCGAATAGTTAAATTCGATCTATTTTATACGGCAAATGTGTACTGATTTTTAGTTCGAGTCACGTACGTTGTGACGCTGTTGTTCCAGTTTCTTAGATTTGTCACATCTTAGATAAGTCACATCTCCGGTTAACAATTACATAAATTAGTATAAATTGATCACATTACGTACCCACTGGTTTCCCAGTGACGGGGTCCTCGTAGTGGCTGCGGTTGCCGACGTACGAGAACTCGTAGTAGAACACCTTGTGGGGGGAATGACGGCACATTAGATTCGCCAATCTGTTGACAAAAACACATTTATATCATCTGCGAAAGTGACCTTGTAGACAATAAAAAACCTGAATAAATATATTTTGAGAAAATGGGTAAAGATTTTGTTTTTTGTAGAAGTTTGGAGATATCTTGGAATAATAAGCCTAGAAGCCGCGTCTTTTTTAAAACAAGCGCGGTAATGTGTGATGAATTCATTTTCTCGTGTGCATAAGTTGGATGTGGCTACGCACACAAATACATGATTTTAGTTTTACCATCACCACAAACCGGAAAACCACAAACTGGGGAAAGGTTCTGTTAAAGTTCTGCGATGCCAATATATGGCTAACGGAATATGATTATGTCCGTGTATATTATTAATTCCTATTAATAGTCACCGATTTACTGTGGCCAACATATACCCGAGTAACAGAGACTGTATTTAATCGCGTTACAAACAAAATTCATCCTCACAAAGTTGGAGTGGATGGCAAACTATCAATAAACAGACAAGGCACAGTCATAGGCGATTGTTACTTTGTTTACGAGTATCTTTACATCTTATATCTATCATACAAAATGTACCTTATATGATTCTAAACAACCTATCTGAGAACTCTGATCCTATGACCGAGTCTACGTACAGCTTCCCCAAACTGTCAGAAGCAACAGACTCATTTGTAAGTGGTTTCCAATCCAATCCATCTACATAAACTACTTATAACTAATATTATAAAGGCGAAAGTTTGTGAGTGTGCGAGTGTGTATGTTTGTTACTTCTTCACGTCTAAACGAATGGAGTGATTTTTATAAAATTTGGTATGGAGTTAGCTGACACCGATTAACATAGGCTACGTTTTACTGCGGGAGAATATCCCAGCGTGTGTGTTCATAAAAACCAAACGAAAGCAATATGTATGTATGTCGAATCGACTGATTCTCTCTTCGGGTGATCAGAGGGCTGGCAGCTATTTCGTGCAGAGAATCAGTTTAGCCGTTCAGCGAGGTAATGCTGCCAGTGTACTGGGTACCATGCACCAAATTGGAATTTTGGATGACATATTCTTCTTGTTTCTTCTTCTTCTTCTTGTGAGGAGCTCGATGGCGCAGGTGGCTAGCGCTATCGTTGAAATTAAGCAACTTTCGCAGTGGTCGGTCATTATATGGGTGACCAAAATTTACTATCTCCTCCGTGCTTCGGAAGGCACGTTAAGGCATTGGTCCCGGATGCATCTGCAGTCGTTAGCACCCACCAATCCGCACTGGGCCCGCGTGGTGGGTCATGGCCCAATCTCCCTATTCCATCCATAGGGAAGGCCTGTGCCCCAGCAGTGGGGACATTAATAGGCTGATGATGAAGATGATGACGTTTTACTGCGGAAAATATCCCAGCGTGTGTGTTCATAAAAACCAAACGAAAGCGTGTTTTAACAAACTATTCCTGCCATCTATCATAGAAAATGTAAACTGATTCTGAACTGTACCTGTGAACTCCGAATCCTATAACTGAGTCTCCGTACAGCTTCCCCAAGCCATCAGCAGTAACAGAATCATTTGTCAGTGGTTTTCCATCCAGGTATGCTTGCTTCAGACGATTGGCTGCTTCTGTCGACTTCTCCGGAGGAAGTAAGAAGGAGACGGGGGCGATTCTTTCCCATTCCGCATTCATTGTGTTTGTATAGTTCTCGTTGTCCAGAATAGCTGGAAGGGAAGAGAAAATGAGGTGAATAACAAGAGAACTGAAATCGATCAAAAAACATTGGGAACATTTTGTCCCCTAACATTTCGTTTTATTCGTTTCTGAAATGAAATGAAACTGAAAAACTTTTTGTAAGTTAAAGTAAAGTAAGTAACTTAAGGAGGAGCTCGATGGCGCAGGTGGTTAGCGCGTTCGGCTGCGATCGTTGAAGTTAAGCAACTTTCGCAGTGGTCGGTCATTGGATGGGTGACCAAAAATTTACTATCTCGAGCTCCTCCGTGCTTCGGAAGGCACGTTAAGCCGTTGGTCCCGGCTGCATCTGCAGTCGTTAGCACCCACCAATCCGCAGTGGGCCCGCGTGGTGGGTCATGGCCCAATCTCCCTATTCCATCCATAGGGAAGGCCTGTGCCCCAGCAGTGGGGACATTAATAGGCTAATGATGATGATGAAGTAACTTAAAAATTTAACACACAAACACACGCACATAAACACACACACACACACACATGCACAGTTTTATGATTTCTATTTTACCTATTAGGTTTTTATGGAGTGTTTTTAAAATTGTATCGAGGATTGGAGGCCTGGAGCTCTGAAATACAGGTAGACTACTGCCTAGTTTAGACTCCAGTCTCCCACAGACACGTTCATGTATGTATATTAATAACCTATGTTTACTATGATCCGTTTGATGTTTGTGGAGAGAAATAAATAAATAAATAAATAAATAATAAATAAATATTTCCAACACTCACACCAATTAGCCTAGCCCCAAAGTAAGCACTATAAGGCTTGTGTTATGGGATGCTAGGGTAACGGATAGAATACATAAACTGTACATATATAAGTATATTTTTATAGAAAATACATATTAAACATCCATGACTGGAGTTCAAATGCTCGTATTCATCACACAAACATCTGCCCCCACCGGGACTCGAACCCGGGACCTCTCGAGTCGGCAACACCATGAAACCCGGCGTACAAACCACTCGACCACGGAGGTCGTCTAATAATAGTACATTACGATACGCGTGACCTACGTTGACTATTACTGCACGGCGTGAAGTTAGCGCCCGGTGCTAAACGCCGTGCAGTAATAGACAACTTAGGCCACAAGTATCGTATACTATTTTGTAGCAAGTGTGACATAAACCCGCCCCGGACGCGGGCAAGAGGGGGGGTTTTTTAAATGCATTATACGCTGCTGTATACAGCCGTTTCGATTTTTGGGGCAACAAATTCAATGTCACCGATTTCGCCACTTCTTTAATTGCGTCCGGAACAATTTCACCGTTCTCGTATTCGCTTAGGTCACTATCCGAACTGGCCATTTTCGACCAAAAGATACAATTCTCGCGGAATGATTTATAGCTAACCGTTTCTCCTTGTTTTGGCTGTCACTGAAAATTCCTAACCTATCGCTAATTTGTCATTTGTTTGCTGTGAGTTTTTAAGCTCCAAATGACATTTAAATGTGTTTCCTTTTATTTTTTCTACATGAGTGAAGTTGGTCTATTCATTAACACACCGTGCAGAAATAGGCAACTTAGGTCACGGAAAAGCGTGCGTAAAGTGCGGGTTTACACACTGTGCTATAAATTATTATTATTATTTAATTTTGGGTTAATTCGAAGCAATATTGTAAAGTACTCACAGAACGCCTTCCAGAAGAACTCCCTGGTGGTTTGCCCGATGATGTAGGGCACCGCATGCATCCTACCATTGTTTACCGATTCCAGCGGGTGCTCTGTAAGGAACCGCTCCTGGCCCACGTCGGGCTCCACTATGGGAGCCCACACCAGGATCGGGTCGTAGCCGAACGTCTGTTGGAAACCGGAACTAAATTAAATACGAGTACCCATGGAATTTCGGTAAACGACTAAGTGTAAATGAACGGAGTCGAGTACGCCCGTATTTTTAGGGGTTCCGTACCTCAAAAGGAAAAAACGGAACCGTTATAGGACCACTTTGTTGTCCGTCCGTCCGTCCGTCTGTCAAGACCGTTTTTGTCAGGAGGTAGCAAAGTGAAATTCATATCTAATTATCAGGTCTACTTCCCCTTGGAGCTGTGAAAAAAAACAAACTTCTAAGCCAAAGCAATCAAAAGATACAGCCGTTTATGCCGCAAATTTCCGCAATAAAATACTTATATCATGTCTACTCTTAAATTTTTTCGTATTACAGTACGTCTTAGTTTGGGAATGATTGTGTTTTTAGGTCTTTTTCCATGTCAACTGAAGTTGTTTAAATACTTTTATCAGCAATATAAAAATATACGAATTTATGATGTGTATGTACGTTAAATATAAGTAAAATATTTTATTTTCTTATTCAAATGTATGTACCAGCTTTTACAGAAATTAACTTAATGTTTCACTGCATTTCCTTTGTAAATAGTATTCAATCTTTACTTTTGTCAAAAGTGACCTTAAAAAGTATCCTTTTTATGGTTTGTTTTTCATTTTGTCTCACGCCAATGTGAATAGAATATAGACATTCATGAGTGCTTATAACAGCTTACAGAGAATAAACTATAATTGATTTTGATATGTACTCACAAACATCTGGTCGAGCGAGTTGCCGATATCCCTCCAGGGTTTAGTCTTCAGGCAGGACATAATAGCTTCGGAGCTGTCCGTGGGGCAGTTTAGTAGTTGTGCCTGTTTGATTGCCAACTCCTTCTGGTGCGGTCGGATGGCCACCTGCGAGATGGGTGACCCACTGATGGACACCGCTCGATGAAACAAACCTGACCACAGTTATAATTAAACTCAAAAGCTTTCTGAAGAAAATTTTACTATAAAAAATTCGACATATGCTGAGGCATGGTCCTCTTTGACTATTTTTACACGACTGCCCAAGAAAAATAGAGTGTAATATGTATTCTGGGTTCATGTATGTATATATATATGTCTCTGAATGTCGGCCTTATAACAAAACTCAGAGTCGCGCAGCGTGCTATGGAGAGGGCTATGCTCGGTGTTTCCCTACGTGATAAGATCCGAAATACGGAGATCCGTAGAAGGACCGGTGTGTACGACATAGCCCGAAGAGTTAGCACGCTGAAGTGGCAATGGGCAGGCCACATCGCTCGAGGATCTGACAACCGTTGGGTAAGAAAGGCCCCCAACAAGGTGGACTGACGACATCGACAAATGTGCTGGGAGCCGCTGGATGCGGATAGCGCATTGTGGCGTTCTATGGGGGAGGCCTATATCCAGCAGTGGACGGAGAAAGGCTGATGGATGGATGGATGGTATGTATATATGTACAATTCTTTATTCCATGATAACTTCTGAACGCCTGAACCGATTTAAATGTATCGTTAGAACCCTTTCACCGTTCCTGGTAACATAGGATACCTAAACTATTAAAATTGAAATAACAACAATGACAAATTCCCATTTATGTCAATAAAAAAAGGCTTTTAATTATTATAATATAGGTAGCATACGATGATACCACATTAAATTTATGTATTGAAATATAGTAACAATAGTTTTAATTGCAGTCGTTTTTAAATTTTTTAATTACTATTTAGTATTTGATTTCTTTAAATTTTGTTTTTAAATTAATCTTAATATGTTTTTCGGTCGGTCCAGGCATTAAATAGGATTAAAATCATTAATTCAGTCAAGGTGTTACAAGCGCTTGTAATCCTCAAACGCTATGGTATCGATTCATGTAAGAGAATCTACGTAACTGACCTTTAGACATGGGGGACACCATATGCAGCATGACGCTGAATGCCCCAGCGCTGCACCCACTGATGGTGACGCGGCGTGGGTCACCGCCGAAGGCCGCGATGTTGCGCTGGACCCACTGCAGGGCCACCACCTGGTCCTTGAACCCGTTGTTGCCGGGCGCGTGCTTATCACCCGTGCTTAGGAAACCTGGGCCAGAGTACAATTATGTTTGATTATATTATCAATATTAGAAAGAAGGAAGAAGACAGCTTCTCCTTCCTTCTTTCTAATACCACTCACTGGATTAAGGTTGTGACGTTCAATCTGCGATCGTGATGTAGTTATACACATATGTATAAACGGGAGGCTGACATCAGATATGCCGTGCGATAAAACCGAATTATGATAATTGATGTGGATGGTTACTTGTTCGGCTGCGATCGTTGAAGTTAAGCAACTTTCGCAGTGGTCTGACATTTGATGGGTGACCACATCTCGAGTTCCTCCGTGCTTCGGAAGGCACGTTAAGCCGTTTGTCCCGGCTGCATCTGCAGTCGTTAGCACCCGCCAATACGCACTGGGCCCGCGTAGTGGGTAATGGCCCAATCACCCTATTCCATCGATAGGAATTACCTATGCCCATTGTGAAATTAATAGGCTGATGATGATCGGTGTTCCGAACCGAATATGCCCGCTTGTGTGTAGCTACCCTAACACTTTAAACAGTCAGTCCCAGCTTAAGCAACCGATAATCTACACTGTGGACGCGTGATAGATAAACCTGGCGAATATATTACATTCCATCTCTAGGGAAGGCCTGAGCCCCAGCAGTGGGGACGTTAATAAGCTTACCGAGTGAAGCGAGCCGGTAGTTGATGGTGACGAGCACGAGGTCCTTGTCCAGTAAGTAGTCGGGACCCGCCACGTCGCTGCGACCCGACACCGAGTAGAACCCGCCGGAGTGGATGTACACCACCACAGGCAGCGGCTTAGAGCTACGCGGCAAAGGGGAATAGGAGGATCAATAAAAGTATACATTTATATATTTTACTAGCTGACCCAGCGAACTTCGTACCACCCTAAAAAAATAGGGGTTGTCCAGCGGACAAAATTGTGGATCTAAACCATTCTCAGATCCCCTTGAACATACACAAAAAATTTCATCAAAATCGGTCCAGTCGTTTAAGAGAAGTTCAGTGACATACACACTCACAGAAGAATTATATATATAAAGATATGTCTATTTATGTCTTAAAACGTCAAGCCGGAATCGACTTGGGCCTATTCGGCGAATGGGTTGGTAAATACTAGTTACTAATAAACGTCATCTGTCACTGTGAGTGAATAAAAACGAGTGAAACAGTTTAAACTAACGCAGCGCTGCATTATCCCCCTCTCAGGGGATAATCGCTTCAGATGAAGCTTGTAAGGACCTTCAGGCCATAAGTATTAACTACGGGTGTGTTTTAGTCAGTAGGAGTCTGACATAACCTTGCAGCCGGCTGTAGGTTGGGTATCCATGAGGATTTCACATCCGCTCCCCCGCCTGGGAGGAATAAAAAAAAAAACAGTCTTCGGGTCATTAGTGATCTAGACGTCGAGCTGTTCAGCCGTGTTCAAACCCCTTACCGATTTCACCACGTTCCGATTTAATCCGTTTGCATCATTCATTTTTAACTAATTACTTAAAAGACTATCTTTATGAAACCTAAACAGTGCAAACCTAGTATTATTTAGAGGATTTGTAATAGAAGTCGACCGTGACTAAACGAACGCCCACATTCCTCTTCTACACACACACACATATATATATATTATGCATTTAACTGCTCGATGTTTAAATCTAAAGAAAGGTTTACTAGAATATTCCACGCCGTCCGGGAGGCAGACCGTCCACCATCTTAATGCGTGACTATCCACAACCTTGCGATTTTGCCGAAATTTATACCGCGTACGTCAATCTGTGGAATATATTATCACTAGCAGTGCTTTCGGACCAATACGAATTGAAAACCTTTCTAAAATAGAGCGTACTCCTTCCTCGAAGGCCGACATCGCATTTGTGATCCTCATGCTATTGCAGGTGTTTATGGACGACGGTGATCACTCACCATCAGGTGAGCCGTCAGCTCCTATACCCCCCCATAATATAAAAAATACAGTTCTTATTCACCAATGATCAATAATGGAAAGATCTAGTAGATTAGATCTAGATGTAGTCTTAGAAGTACCTCAAACTTCATACTAAGGGCTTTTTCTCTGGCGTGTATAGTCTTCGTCTACCACTTATCAGCGATTCCAGGCAACAGGAATAATTGTTTCTTAGGTTTTCACGCACATCACTCATTAAATAAAATTAGTGAAACGTCAATAAATAAATAAAGTTTTCGTGCATTAACCCGTGAAAACTAGTTTTATTTAACAGGAATAATACTCTTTGCAGTACAGACAGCATCATAACTTACAGTTTCTTCTCTGGTGTATATACATTGAGCCGCAGACAGTCCTCATCTACGAAGTAGTCCGGGTCGATGACAGGTTGCGGGCAGGCGGGACCCTCCGCCTTGGCATCCACCTCCGACGGATACTGCAGGATCGGCTTAGGAGGCTGGTGGAACATAAAGACATTTTTTGACGTGATAACGTCTTATAAATCTATGAACACCGGCAACAACCATGTGGTATGTGGACGCGACCTAAAGCCGTTAGTTGCAAAAAATTTTTTTGCTGCCCTATACGTTCGACTCTACATAGAAAGCTCAGGTATGGTAGGAGCGCTTCTCAAGGTGCAAGTTTTCCCCCCACATTTAATCTACCGCGCTCGAGTACTGCTCGAGTAAATCCAAAACATCATCGCTTGGGCTCTTCTATAGACCACAGACGATGTCCCTTACCATCAGCCGGCCCTTATGTTTGTTTGCAACCATTTTGCATAAAAACCCCTCATGAAGATGAAAATATACTTGACAAAGATTTAAAACCACACTTCGCCGATTGTATAACACATTCTACGCTTATCTTATACGTCACAAGCTTTTGCCACCTATTTAAAAAAAAACTTCATGAAGAGCACGATAGACTGTTGTCATGTTTGGTTATGGGTTCTGAGGGTCATGTCGGTGTTGAGCCAGTATCTGATCCTGTCTGGTAACATTTTATTGTTAGTTAGTATTGTAAAAAAACATCTTCATTGTATGTTACTGTTAAGTCACAAACTCATTAGTGTGTTAGTTTTATTTTAGCTCTGTTGATACTACTAATATTAAATATAAATGCCAAAGTTTGCACGTTTGTTACTCAATCACGGAAAAACCACTGAACGGATTTGAATGAATTTTAGTATGCAGATAGTTTATGACCTGGATTGAGATACAGGATACTTTTTATAACGGAAAATGTTTGGTACTTATGGAATTCTCAAAAAACAAAGTTAAAACGGACAAAGTCACGGGCGGTCGCTATATATATCGCATAAATAAATAAAGATGCAAAGATTGTAGATAAATACATGGAATCGCAGCTCTCCTGTGGGCGGGGCTGCATACCGCACGCCGCGGTAGGCCTGCACACGCCGCCCGCGCCGCGTCTGAAGCCATGATCCTCGAATACTGCCTGATGGAGTCACCGTCACCGGCTCGCTTGATGGCGACACTACAAACAAAACACAATCAAATCCACTGTTAACTCATTGTTATGCAGACGACAGCACGGGTGATGCCCTATATACCGGCCGCGCCAACATTTCACGGGAAAACGTCATCGAGTGCCGGAACAAACTTGTGTCTGAAGTCGAAACTTTGTTAAACCGAGTAACGAATTGGGGCCGACTTAATCTAGTCCAATTTAACCCTACGAAGACACAAGTATGCGCGTTCACCGCAAAAAAAATACCATTTGTCTTATCTCCTCTTTTTGAGAACACTCTTCTAACTGCCTCAGCTAGTATTGGAATTCTTGGCGTTGACATATCGAGCGACGTCCAGTTTCGGGATCATTTAGAGGGCAAGGCCAAATTGGCCTCTAAGAAGCTTGGTGTGCTCAATAGATCGAGAATGTACTTCACACCGGCCCACCGACTGCAGCTTTATAAGGCACAGGTTCGGCCTCACATGGAGTACTGCTCTCATCTTTGGGCGGGGGCACCCCAGTACCAACCAGCTTCTCCCTTTGGATCGCATCCAGCGCCGAGCGGCTCGAATAGTCGACGACCAGGACCTTTCCGATCAGCTTGATCCTTTGGCTTTGCGTAGGGATGTAGCTTCGCTCTGCATCTTCTATCGCATTTATCACGGGGAGTGTTCTGAGGAATTGTTCGGATTAATTCCAGCTGCTGCATTTCGCCATCGTACATCGCGACAAAAATTTCATCCCCATCATCTTGATGCGTGGCTATCTACAACCGTGCGTTTTTGTCGAAATTTTTTACCACGTACGACAAAACTATGGAATATGTTGTCGCCAGCAGTGTTTCCGGACCGATACGATACGAAACCTTCAAAAAAAGAGCGTACTCCTTTCTTAAAGGCCGGCATCGCATTTGTGATACTCCTGGTGTTGCAAGTGTCCATGGGCGACGGTGATCACTGACCATCAGGGGAGCCGTATGCTCGTATGCCCCCCATAAAATAAAAAAACAAAAAAACACTAGCACACTCTTTGAGAGACCGTGTGCAAAATACCGCATTTAATCAGGCAATTATCGTTGGCGTCAGGACCCAGTATCCGTGGTTGCAACTAGCCTTGAATGCTGCCTGATGGAGTCACTGTCACCGTCTCGATGGGTGGAAATACTTCTGTCGGAAGGAGGAACAAAACATATCAAAGACAGTGGTGGATATATCCCATAGAAAGACACCAAACTCGATAGTGACCTAAGTAATGATAAGTGATGAGAAATATCTAATTCTCAGTGACAGTGGTGTCGATTCTAGCATGATTCTCTAAACCTAAACTTAAATTTGACAAAAGTGTATCCTTGTCATTCTCTATACAGAACGAAAAGGAGAGACTGATGTTAAAATTAGTTTCAAGTTTAGAGAATCACGCCAGAATCGACACCACTGACTACATCACGTCTCGTCAGTACTGGGGTACGGATTGCAGCTATGGGGTAACTCAGTTGACATAATATTAGCTTTTAGACTGAAAAAAGTGTATGTGGGCTATATGTAATGCTAGAAGTATTGAAAGTTGCCATTGTTTAAACAATTAAAAATACTTCCGCTCGCATGTGTTATATAAACAACACATATAACACGTGTACAACGATTTCGCTGACTACCCGCAATTTAGGTTATGAAATATTCTGTTAAATTATGTTATTTAGTGTTAACAATAGATTTTCATAGTATTTTTAATAACAACTACATTACAATAACCTCTCAAAATCAAGTATGAGTATTGAAACAGCAATGACATCACTGAATCAACCAATATTACGTGCTCAATATTGTATAACATATTTCAAAGGCCATCTCGATATTTATTATATTACATATGCATGTATATAAAATGTACATTTGTGAGGCAGAATCCAATTTATTTCCCTAGCTATTCCGATATGCAGTTGCGATAAACTAGACACAAGGACAGACTGTTTTTACCGAAATGTTCAATAAAAATGCATATGTTCAAGCAATATTAAATAGAGGAGCTGGTAAACATACAAAGCGTTACAATTACGCATCTGGCCGTTCCGGTTCCGTTAAATTTGAATCTCAAATAATTTTCAATCAAAACCGCCTAAAACAGTGTTAAAATCTTAGATTAAAACAAAAACGGTAGATACGGTACGCTCATACTTGCATCAAACAAAAACTGATCCCACGGCAGCGCGAACGGGACGCCGAGATCCGCGTCACTGCATTACCGACCCGAACGAAACAGCACGTTAAGTTTCAACGGCAGCGCAAACGAGACGGCGAGATCCGCGTCACTGCATTACCGACCCGAACGAAACAGCACGTTAAGTTTCAACGGCAGCGCAAACGAGACGGCGAGATCCGCGTCACTGCATTACCGACCAATCAGGCGACTAGTACACGACGTTACTACCGAATAAGATTCAAAACAAACAACAATTTTTATGAAAAAATATATTCTATAGTACTTACGAATGAAAAGTGATGCCGTGGGTTTTATTTTTAGTTCTTCAGCAATTTGAACACTTTTTAAAAACACACTTAGGGATTGTTTTATCATATAAACACAAAATATTAGCAATATTTCTTTTTGGCGTTCACGTGTATGTTGTTTGCATGTCAAGTTCTGACTAAAGCGATTAGGGTCGTGGACCACAATTGGTGCGGATCACTTTTGTGAGGCTAGTGCCGTATCTACCCTTTTTGTTTTAATTAAAATACTAAATTTATAAATTAAAAACCATGCCAAAAGCTCACTGGAGGTATGTCATTCAGTTTTACACCGCTCCTGTAAAAATTAATTTTATGTAATTATACTGTTTTGTTCTCAGCTCCTCTATAATAAACTACCAGACATTATTAAATATATACCTTTTAGTATGTTAAAAAGAAAATTGACTACTTGGCTTCTAGAAAATGCTTTTATACGATGCGTACTTAAAATATAAATGACATATCGAATTCTTTTTCAAATATTGTTTCTAATTGTGATACATTTTATCTATACTTATAATAAATCTGTAGAGAAGTCAATTCTGTACATTAAATATATTTAAAAAATTACTAGCAAAGGGTGATAAGGGATCGTTAGTGATCCCAAAAATGCAATCAGTAAAATTTTTGTCTGTCTGTCTGTCTGTCTGTATGTTCAGGCATCACGTAAAAACTAACGGTTCGATTTCGATGAAACTTGGTATAATTATACCTTATTATCCTGGGCATAAAATAGGATTTTTTATCCTGGAAAAATACGTAGAAAAAAAAAAAATCTTAATTTTTCAGTTTTATTCATTGACGTTATTCTGTAGAACCGCGAACACACAGTGGATTCAGCGCCGTAGCCTGTAGCGCCGAAAGTCGGATTTGGCTTGAACCGTTTGCGATACAAGCGGGCTGCACGACGTCCCGCCTCCCCGACTCCTATATAAGGACGGCGTTCCGCGCCCCCTCTCGGGGGGTGATCGCTTCAGATGAAGCTTGTAAGGCCCTTCTGGCCATAAGCATGAATAAAGGGTGTTTTTTAGTCAGTAGGAGTCTGACATAACCCTACAGCCGGCTGTAGGGTATCCATGAGGATTTCTCACCCTCTCCCCCGCCTGGGAGGAAACAAAAAAAAAAAAAAAAAACGCCGCGCGATGCATATAAATTCTGAATTTTGATGCGTGCGGACGTGTTTAGTGTGGAATTAATATTGTACGCGTGTAATTTTAAACCGTGCTTTTTGATTACTGGATTTGATGTCAATTCTAAGACTGTTCCGATCAGTTATTTGTAAATATAGTACGTACGTAGTTTAAGTCTTCATCGTGAATTGGTTTATTTAGGTTGGTATTTTATTTTCTTTTTGTTTATCTTTGGAAACATAGGTATAGTAATTAGGTTATAAGGTAAAGTAGGTTAGTTATTTAACTCATATTTCTCTCTCTCATCTCATTTCATTGTATTTCTGTTTATTTTTAATACAGTTTTATTGTAACACGATGCCTGCCAGAAAGCGATCTTCTCTTACTAAAACATCGAAACATGCTAAGCGAATGAGACTAGCTAGATCACAAGAATCAACCGAAGAGCGAGAATCCCGGTTAAACCGCATGCGAGACATAGCGGCTGAAGCAAGAGCACGTGAAAGCAGTGCCGATCGCGAATTGAGATTAAGTGCTGATCGTCAACGTCACTCACTATCTCGCTCCTCTGAAACATTTACTGAAAGGGATATACGCCTCACTACCGACCGTGAACGTCACGTATTGTCTCGGGAGTCTGAGACGTACCCGCAATATCAAGATCGTTTAACGGCTGACCGTGAACGTCACGCGCTGTCACGGGAGTCTGAGACTTACACCCAGTATCAAGATCGTTTGACGGCTGACCGCGAACGTCACGCGCTGTCACGGGAGTCTGAGACTTACACCCAGTATCAAGGTCGTTTGACGGCTGACCGTGAACGTCACGCTTTGAGTCGATCTCTTGAAAGTGACGAAAACCGTTTGCGTCGTTTAGAGGCAGCTCGCGAAAACTACGATTTAAGAGTTCAAAATAATATAGATAATTTGTCAAACGAAAGACAAAGAATAAATGATATTCGGTCATTAGAAACAAATGAGCAATGTGAAGTTCGACTCAGTGGAGATAGATTTCGTCATAATATTGATAGAGTTTTATGTTCATCAGATCATGACGAAGCAGAATCTTTAGATTTGTTGCCATGGATAAATAGAAGCAAAAGTGGATTTGCTTATTACGTTAGAATGAATTATGAATCTTTTGCAGAGATAGGTGAGATGAATATAGTTTGTTCTCATTGTAATTCCTTGAAATGGAGACATGAGTCCGCTGGATTTTGTTGTTCTGGTGGAAAAGTGAATTTACCGCTATTTGAAGATCCACCGGAGCCTTTGAAATCATTGCTCTTAGGAGAACATACCCATTCCAAACATTTTTTGGATAATATTCGGGCTTTTAATAATGCATTTCAAATGACTTCTTTTGGCGCTCAACAAATATCCGAAGGCCCATTCATGCCTACATTCAAAATTCAAGGCCAAGTCTACCATCTAATTGGATCACTGTTGCCAGAAAATCAACCGAAATTCTTACAAATTTACTTTATATCTGATTATAACGAACAGTTAGCTGTACGAAATACAAATTTACCACATCTTAATGCAGAATTAATTTTGGCACTTCAGCATATGTTACATCAGGTCAATACGTATGTGCATAGTTTTAAGTCAGCATTGGAATCTATTCCTCAAGGGCAATGTGACAATTATAATGTTGTAATCAATGCCGATAGACGTCCAAGTCAAGAACACCCCAGGCGCTACAATGCACCTACGACTAATGAAGTCGCAGTAGTATTAGTCGACCAAGAATGTGATAGACGAGATATCGTGATTCGTACTAGAGACAACCGTCTGCAGCGTATTTATGAAACTCACAGAGCATATGATAGTTTGCAGTACCCCTTAATTTACTGTCGAGGAGACGATGGCTATAATTTTGCAGTGTACCAAACTAACCCGGTTCGGCCTCATGATGTAGATCATGTAATTAGTGCCGAATTTCCTGACCCAAATGTAGATCCTGTATTATATGAAATCGTTAAAACTCATATGGTTCATGGACCCTGTGGCGCACTACATTCTCACTCTCCTTGCATGCAAAACGGTCGCTGTACTAAACGATATCCAAAATCGTTAGTGGACCAAACTATAACAGGTCATGACGGATATCCTTTATATCGGCGCCGTTCGCCAAGTAGTGGTGGATTTACAGCTGAAAAAAGAGTTCTTGGCCAACAAATCACTTTAGATAACAGGTGGGTCGTGCCATATTCTCCAGTATTATCTAGAGCTTTCGGAGCATATATAAATATTGAAATGTGCAATAGTATTGAATCTATTAAGTATATATGTAAATATATTAACAAAGGTAGTGACCAAGCATCATTTGCACTAAGAAATAACGAACACGATGAGGTAGCTAAATATCAATCGGGACGGTACATTAGTTCGTCAGAAGCAGTGTGGCGAATCTTAAGTTTTCCCATACACGAGCGACATCCACCTGTAATGCATCTCGATATTCACGCAGAGGGAAGTCAAAGTATATATTTCAACCCAGAAAATGTAGCCGAGCGTTTAGTAAATCCAAGACGCACAACTCTTATAGCATTTTTTGAATTGTGTGGCACTGATAGCTTTGCCAAAACTTTACTCTATGATGAGATTCCCGCATATTACACATACGATAAACAACGTGGAGTATTTAACCGTCGTCGACGAGGCTCCCCAGTAGATGGCGCACCTGGAGTTTACA